GTGAATCCCACCACACATGTATCTATAACATAAGAGAAGATCTCTCATGTAACATGAGATTAGATTAACCCTATATATGTATATATACATACATATATGTATATATATACATATATATATATATATATATATATATTAAATCCATATTTGTAATTGACACTACTTTCATCAGGTAGTTGAAAATATCTTTCCAAAAGTCTAGGGACGTTTGGTACGATGTATTTTTTAGAATTCCCGAAAAACTGAAAGTGGTAATCATATTTACTCACATTTGATATAAGTTTTTTAAAATTTTCTCAAGAATCTGATTTTTTCGGGATTTTATTTTGTGTATAATTTTTTTTGAAAATACCATCCAGGGGTATTCTAGGATTTCTACGACAAGAGAAAATTTAATACAACTAAAACTCAATATTCTCGGGAATATTTTAATCTATCAAACACATTTTTGGTAACATTCCCATAAAACACATCTTCTTATCATATTTCTAGAAATCATTATCGTATTTCTGGAAATCGTGATTTCGGATAATTTTTTTTTTCTTCCCCTAATTTCATTTAACCCTTTATTTAATTACTAAATCATATACAGTTTTCTCGAATATGAAACATTTCTTACACAATCTTCATTTAACATTTTTCTTTACTACAGGGATCGGTACAACATAGCGACTAAAAAAGACAAGATCCTGTCTTTCTTTATGATAGTTCTGGCAGTCTTGTCGAACGCTGTGGCTATATACAGTGATGCCTATGCCTTGATCAAGAATAACAAAAAGTGAATGATTTCTTTAAACTTTCTTTAGAAGCACGTTGTACTTTGTACATGTATGTATGTTCCTAATGAACACAATGGGCAGGGTTATTGGCCAACTACAAAAAGGTTATTGGCCAACTACAAAAATCATGAGAGGGTCTAATGGGTTGATTATAAAATATACTAAGAAGTTATCATGTGTACAAATATTATTTAGACTTGTGTAATGATCTGCAACATGTTGAGCCTCCTTTTTGTAATGTGTTCTTTGCTATTGTAATTGTAGAGGTTCTCGTTGAATGTGCCTAAGTAAGAGAAGCCGATATAATTGGTATTGTTGGTGATGAGTTAAGTGAAAACGATATAAATAAAAGGATTATAAATCTAAGGATATGTTATTTTACCTACTTTTGATTTGCCTATCTCTTTCAACATTATTGGATTATAATTTCATTCAACAGTAGAGATTTGTAATATAAAATAAACCATTTTACTCTTTTTATTCTCCTTCTTGCCTCTTACCTTTTCTCTCTCCTCCTCCTTCTCTCTATTAACCAAGACACAGACAATTCATTGTATTGTAGAATTGTATTTAGTGTTTCTCTTTTAAATAATAAAATATGATGATGTAACTCATTGTATCGTAGAATTGTAGCAATTGAATCAGCAAAACAAAAAAATCGATTAATGAATTTGTGCCCGCAACTCATTATAAGATAAATCAATCAACATTTTTGTTTTCTTTCTCAACCATGGAGGTCTCCACCCTCATTGGCACCATTCAACAATTTAGAGGTCCCTGATCTGAAAATTTTCCTTTTTATTTATTGAATTTTCTTCATTTTGTCGGTGATTGAAATTATGGGTATGAGGTTGCACCATTTTGCTATCTCTGCCTTAAACCTGGTTTAGGTGTTTAGAATTATTGGTTTTACAGTGAAACGAATTATGGAGAAAGGAGAGGAGAAAGAAAGGGTGTGGGAGGCACTAAGGAAAAAGAAAAGGGAAAGAGAGTTTATTTTATTCCGTGAATCTCTACCATTGGATGATATTATAATTTAATGGTATTAAAAGGGGTAGGCAAAAGTAGGCAAGATAAAAGTAGGTAGAATAACATATCCTTAAATCAAATATTTTAAAGTTTAGAGTTCAGATGTGATATTGAACTCATTTATTGTGATTGATGTATTTTAATCCATTGATACGATCCATCGTCATAGGCTCCCAATATCTCACATGATAATGCTATTAGAGCTAGGTTTGGCTTGGGCTAACCAACTTGTCAATCCTGTTATTTTATTTAAGTTATTTTGGCTGTGATAGCCTAATGATATGAAATTCTTAAATTCAGTTAAATGAATTTTCAAAAAATAAAATACTTTCGAAGTATGGTCAAAATTAAAATTAATCAACACACTTGTTTTTAGAGTAATATATAGTTTTGAGTTCCGTATTACTCCAAGGCATACATTTAAATGAGATTTTTTCTATTAAATTCGAAAATAAATGTTCATATATATTTTTTTAAATAATCAGTTTTATTTTTTTCTTTGGCTAAAACAAATATTTTGAAATTTTATTATGGATTCACATAATTAAGTTAAGGATAACTGCTTCTAAAATGGACGGTGTTAACACCTTTCTTACATACAATGAACTCTCAAATTCACTCTTGTTTTCAATTATCAGTTTCTTTAATAAATGAGTTTTTCAAAATAAACTTTAATGACAATTCCATTTTTTGTCTTTTTTAATTTTTTGCTTCTGTAACAGGAAAAAAACTTCTTTTTCTACACAAACAAATAGATGTGTGGTCCACAATTTTTCCTTTTTTTTTTCTCAACTCACTTTTTCTCTCTTCTTTTTTGTCTCTGCAGGTTCAAACAATGGTTTTCATGTAACATTATACATGTATAACCCTTTATATAAACTATGATTTAGAACGGGTTCGGTGCTTAAGAATATAATACTGGGTTCAGTCTCGGGATTTATAGAAAGCACACGGGTTCAGTTTAACACTTTATGATATTGGAAAAATTAGACAGTATATCTAATATTGTTGTATAAATGAATTATGAATAAAAAGTTAGAAAGGACATGTCTTTTCGTTTTGAATAGTCGTGCCTTTTGCTTGTGAATTGTCGCGTTTTTTCGCTTGTGAACAGTCGCATCTCTTTATTTGCAAATAATTGCGCCTCTTTGAAACGAATAGTCATGCCTCTTCAGCTAGTGATTGTTCATCTCTTATATATACCAGTGTTTTGTTAACTCAAATACAAGCTTTTTTTTTTGACTCCTTGCCAAACCTCTATTTAGAGTAACCCTCACATATTGTTTTAGTTGCGATTGATCAATTGTTCTTATGTCCGGCGGTGTTGTTTTTTATGATTATGCCACTGTCGAAATAAAGGCAATCCGTTTTATCCTGGAAGACATTTGTCCATAAACCTTAGGTACCATTGAATGAGCAAAATTATCTCAATGACACAATATTCAATATTGGGAAATTTCTTTAGTGCTACAGATGTACCATAAATTCGGTGCATTTTCCACTCATATTGTGACACATGTCTTATTTTTTCAAATCAATAATAAATAATTTATTTTAAAATTAGGAGAGAGAATGATTTGATATAGAGTAAGACACGTGTCATAATATGAGTGAGAAAGATGCACTGAATTTTCGGTGCATCTATAATACCAAAGATATTCGGAATCGAGTTTGATTTTTTACAATTTTTCTGCCTTACATATTGCATTATGATTTTTTTTTTTGAAAAATATTTCAATCGGTTCATTGTTTCGCAACTAATCTGATTCGAGACGGGTCCAAGATTAAAGTTTTAAAATCTTCCAAAACTGACATTGGGGAGATTCCAATATTATGATTATTTGTGATTGCGTGCAATTTTATGTTTTAAGTGATATGACCGTTACCAATAACAAAGATTTCTACACTACCACCGATAACAAATATAACTATAAAGCACACGGATACAACATAGGACGCAGATACAATACAACATGGACATGGGAATACGCCAAATTTGGAAAATTATGGGCCACATCAAGAGATTTAGAAAATATCTAGGAAGGTCGAAAGAGAAAAAACTTTGATAATGAGCTTGATAATTACATTACAATAAAAGTATGTAGAAGTCAAAATAGCGGACCTTCAGGCTTAAAAGTCAAGTTGAAGTGGTAAAAATATTTAAGAATTAATAACAAAAGTCAAGTAAACATTAGTAAAGAAAGAATTAATATTTTAAAAGTTAAGATGAACCATTATAGACATAACAAAATGCTATCATTAAGCTACTTATTGTGGTCTTTTGAATCTTGTGATACAAAAAATAAACAAATTATCGGTTTACTTTTTTGAATGAGAGTGAAACATGCATTCATTGTATGCTTGTTCAAAATTCAAATCGCGTATCATTGTGCAAAAACTAAGATGTGTCTACTACAAGTTGCGCTCTACAAGGTGTATAAGGGATATGCATGACTTGGACGCATGTTGCGAAAATATGCATTTTGTATTACGTTAATTTTTGCATAAATCATATATGAAGATGATAAATCACTTAAACATATACATTTTTTATACGTGATTCACTCGCATTAGATGAATAAATAATTTGTAACAGATGATATGCTTAACTTTTAGCGTTGTGTCCGTCAAATAGCCAATCATTGTATTATCTCGATTTGCATTGGTATAAAAGATAAAAAAAATAAAAAATTAACCCCTTAAGAATAGCTCGGCTTTCAAAAATTTGCTTGGATCAGAAGTTCAAATCCTATCTCAAGCAAATTTTTGAAAAATATTTGTATGGATAAAAAATTAAAAATTAAAATAAATAAATAAAAATAGAGTTAAGAGCAAGTGTCCGTGAAATATCTTTGTACGGATACATGTTCAATAAATGTATAACTACTATTTTAAAAGCGTCCATACTTAGCTTTTCCAAGACATTTTGCAATTTGAAAAACCCTATTTCCAATTGTTCACGTGCTGCTTTTTTTTTTTTTAAAGTTAACACGTGCTGCTTAAAAAAAATCTCAAGCGAACCTATATACATTATCATTTGTCCTTAGCAAACACTGTTTAAAGTTGTCTGTTTTTCAAGAAAAAGTTGTGACGTTGTTAAGTTCAATTGTCAACGTCTTCATAATTTGCTTACACCAATGATGCTTTACTCAATTCATATCCTTAACAGTTGTCCAATATGGTGCAACAACTTCAATCAATCCTATTATATGTGTGTTTCTCTTTTTCTTTTGATTGGTTTATAAGCAAACTGTAATCATCTTCAACCTTCACTTTTTCAGGTTTCGAATTTTTTCCTTCTTACTTCATTTTGTCCTTTGGTTCCACATTTTCCCAGCTTTTTGGAGAACGGCCAAAATCTCTGGATATGTTGGATTCGGTTCTAATTTTGCTAGAGAGATTTGGGTTCTGAATTCTGATCCATTTGGTGATCTGGGTTTTGTTGAACCTCTCTTGGGTTTTTGAATCTTCACTTTTGGTTTTTGATTTTTAATTTTCTTGATTCTGGGGTATCTTGAATTATTATTGTTCAGCTTTGTATCACTGAGCTTGTGTTTTGAGCTGAACTAATTACTTCAAAGTTTGAATCTTTTATTCAACTTGAAAGATGGGTGTGTTTTGTTTTTGACAGAGTTGTTAAGCTGATTTGAAATTTTCAAGATAAAAATGACGATTGGAAGTCCTGCACCTAAGGAAGGGAAGACAAAGTCAAGAAAGAACAAGACAGTTGTTGATGAGAATGTGCCTTTGCTACCTAAGACTCAAGAGACTGATGTTAAGTTTGATGATTTTAATGGAGCTTCATTTTCTGGGGCTGTTTTCAACTTGTCCACAACAATTATTGGTGCTGGAATCATGGGTTTGCCTGCAACCGTGAAAAAGCTGGGAATGGTGCCTGGTCTTCTTGCTATAATCTTCACAGCTTTCTTGACAGAGAAATCAATTGACTTCATGATTAGATTTTCTAGGGCAGGGAATCTTACTTCTTATGGAAATCTCATGGGGGATGCCTTTGGGAAATTTGGAAAAGCTCTGTTGCAGATAAGTGTTATAGTCAATAACATTGGAATGTTGATTATTTACATGATTATTATTGGTAAGGATCATATCCTTAAGCTTAGTACTTAAAATTTTATTTGGGTGGAATTTCATTTGTTATTATAGGTTAAGGTTTTAGTTCATTACCCATCAATCTGTTAAGAGAAGAGCTTAGGGTTGTCTATCAAGTTTTGCATTGTTCATATTGCAGGTGATGTGATTTCTGGAACATCTTCAAGTGGAACTCACCATTCTGGTATCCTTGAAGGATGGTTTGGTGTTTATTGGTGGACTGGGCGTACTTTTGTTCTTTTGGTTACAACACTTGCTGTGTTTGCACCTTTGGTGAGCTTTAAGCGAATTGGTGAGTGTTCTTTTCATTCATTTAAAAAATAAAAAAGATATTTGTAGCTGTGTCACTTATTTAATTACAAATTCCTGAAAATAACTGTCCATAAATTAGGCATTAGTGTTAGGAAGATGACTGAAATACTGGGATACATGCTTAGAGTGGCATGCATAACTACTAGTTGTAACCACCCTTGGTTGAGCTAGTTACAACCTATCAAGCACTGACACTTCAAAAATCCTGACGTGTCGTGTCCGACACTTCTCGACACTCTCCGACACTTCCCGACACTCCAATACGCGTTGTAGAGACTCAAAAAAAGGTTCATAGGTTGCGTTTCGTTGCGTTTTTAGTTCCAACTATTAGATTCGTTGGATTACGATTACCATTTTATTGAGTTTAATATAAATATTTGGGATATCTTATGTTTCTTTACAAAATTGATGGATATTATAAGTTTAACTTCATTTTTTGTTAAATTATTGAGTATTAAATAAAATATATATTTCATAAATTAAAAATAATATTTAATATCAAAACGTGTCCTAAAGTGTCGAAACCTAACATTTTTTAGAATTAACGTGTTGAAATGTCGTGTCGTATTGTGTCTCGTGTCCCGTATCGGTATCGGTGCTACATAGGTGACAACGCTAAGGAAGAAAAGAACTTAAAATTTAAGAAAACTTTGTGTTGTTTTGTTGCCATTTTTGCTGAAATTATGACTATGACACTTGAATGACATGAAATAGTAGACATGTATTATAGTTTTAGGATCATTCTATTTCTTTGATACTTTATACATCTTGCATTTTCGTACCAACAAATGAAATCTTTTGAGCAATATCTTTTTTGTTCAAGTTATGTGATGGGGTCGTGGGAGATAATAGGGGTGTGCAAAAAACACAAAAAATTGAACTAAATTGAAAACTGCACCAAACTGCCCCATAAGAATTGGTTTTGTAAAACAATTCTTGAACCTGAGCTAGTTTAAAAACTTTGATTCTAAACTAGTTCTGAACTGAACCGAACCACTTATAATACATTACAACCGGTCACAATTCACTATAGCATTCAATACATGTATAGCTCCATATTAAGTCTGTCTTTTTTATCATATACAGCATTCAATCATACAGTTGGTTAAATATCAACTCAGAAAATGCTTTTGACCATTGTGGGGTAAAGTACAATAACTACAAATAAACAGAATTTGATTCTTTTAAAGTAAAAAGTGGAGAGTTATAGTCTTGGATTGAAAAAATTGAGCAAGTTTGTACGGCATTTTCATATTAGAAAGTTAATTCCAAGCCAGTTTGAAAATACCAACAAAGAGCAGTTTTAACACTAGTTTGTAAGATAAAAAGGTTGAGAACTCGTTTCAAAACCACTTCAGTTCTGAACTGGATTCCAAACAGTTCAGTTCTTGAACAGAACTGAAAAAACCAGTTCAGTTCGGTTCAACTAAAAAATCATGAAGATTTTATGAAGATTTTATGTGCCTGCTGTGTGGTTATTGCAGATTCATTGAGATTCACATCTGCATTATCAGTTGGACTAGCAGTTGTTTTTCTTGTGATTGCTGTGGGAATCTCAATTTTCAAGATTATAAGTGGAGGCATTGAGATCCCAAGGCTCTTCCCAATCATTACTGATGCAGCTTCATGTTTTGAACTGTTCACTGTAGTTCCTGTGCTTGTAACAGCCTATATCTGCCACTATAACGGTATGAAAATATTTCAGACCTATGTTTGGATCTCATTTCCCTTGTTTTAATGTTTTTATGCAGAACATACTTGTTTATAAATTAACTTCTTGGTTTTTTTTTATTTTCTTTATCTTGTTTTTAAATTAACTTTTTGGGGGATTTAATGTTGGTTGTTTGCAGTTCACAGCATAGATAATGAACTTGAGGACTCCTCAAAGATGCAAGGGGTTGTAAGAACTTCTCTTGCTCTATGCTCTTCAGTGTACTTACTCACAAGCTTCTTTGGGTTCCTACTATTTGGTGAAGCAACTCTTGATGATGTGCTTGCTAATTTTGATACTGATCTTGGAATTCCTTTTGGTTCTGTGCTCAATGATGCTGTTCGTTTAAGCTATGCTGCACACCTTGTACTTGTATTTCCTGTTGTCTTTTATGCAATGAGGGTCAACATAGATGGTCTAATATTTTCTTCTTCAAGGCCTTTGGTTCTTGATAACTTGAGATTTGCATTGATTACTATTGCCCTTATTGGTGTTATCTTTCTGGGAGCAAATTTCATACCAAGCATTTGGGATATTTTCCAGTTCACTGGAGCAACAGCTGCTGTTTGTGTAGGATTCATATTTCCAGCTGCCATCACTCTTAGGTGAGTTTGGTCACTCAATTCCTTTTGTTGAGTAATGGATTTTTTTTCCAATATGTGTTTTTTCTGTTTTCTTTAGACAAGTATCCCCAATAATGATGACACAAAAATGGGTGTTAAAATATAATATTTTTTTTTCCAACCGGTTAATAAGAAATTTGTAAAGAACCAATTCAACCCAAAAAGCTTAAGCTGTTGGGTGAGGCTATATTAATGGTTTTATATATCTCAACACGCCCTCTCATATGAGAACCCACTGGGCTTGAAGCGGGGACGATGCACAGGCCCACCTACCTGTGCGAAGAAAGAAATTCCACTAGAAAGAAAGTGGGGGGCGGTGAGGATCGAACTCGGTACACCGAGGCTTTGATATCATGTAAAGAACTAACTCAACCCAAAAGCTTAAGCTATTAGGTGAGGCTACATTAATGATTTTATATATCTTAACAAAATTCAACTAATTCGGTTCGAATATTGTCAAATCCATATAAACTTATATAGTGTAGCTCTCCTAACACTATTTTCTTCATTTTCATGACTCGAGTTCTTGATCTCTAATCAAGGGAAATAAGTTCATTACTACTTGAGCTAATGATTGTTAGTATTTGATAGACTTATTTAGATGGTAGGATTTTGTTCTTTATAACTAACAAGGAGAGGAACATGACAGGGAAGGTGGAAATAACTTACTGTATATGCTAAATTCTAACAGGATTCTGAATTTTCTGTTTATGCTTTTTCTGCTAATTAATTAACTTAACAATCATCATTAAACAATTTTTATTTTTTTAAACTGCAGGGATCGGTACAGCATAGCAACTAAAAAAGATAAGATTCTGTCTATCTTTATGATAGTCCTGGCAGTCTTGTCAAATGCTGTGGCTATATACAGTGATGCCTATGCCTTGATCAAGAAGAACAAAAAGTGAATGATTTCTTTAAACATTCTTTAGAATCCCATTGTACATTTATGTTGGTAATGAACAGAATTGGCAGGGTTATTGACCAACTACAAAATCAGGCCTAATCATGTGTTGATGATTTTTGGTATGATGATTAAAGAGTTAAATTTGTTGAAAGGGATGTAAGTTGATCCAAAAACTACCTGTATGCAATACTCAAATGATAGTATAAATAAAGTCATTTGAATTTATTTAAATATATATATACTAAGGGGTGTTTGGTATAAGAGATATTTTTTTTACTAGGAACACAAATTTGTTGGGAACATGGTGGGAAGAATTTGTTGCCTGGTAAGTTAATAAAATGCGTTTGGTAGGATAAAAAATTTCCAGGAAAATTGAATTAAATTTACTGATGTTATTTTTGGTTGATAGTAAAAAAGTGATGGGATAACCCCCAAGGGTAGCTCAGTTGGCAGCTGAGCTCCCAAGGGATTGCTTGGTGCAGGGATCAAACCCTGCCTCAAGCAGTTTCTTGGAAAATCTTTGGGGGCCAGAGGATAAGCCAAAAATCTTCGGTTGGGGGATTAGTCTCGTCCTTTCTCCGGTTGCGAAGCTTAGTGCACCCACTGTTACAATGAGGGGCTAGCCCAAATGGGCCGTACCCGAGGGCATGGTGCCCAGAGAAGGTTGAATGAGGATACCTCTTATAAATCTTGAATAGAACTTTCATTATGAAAAACTAAACTGAAATGAAGTTACAAATCTGTATATATACATCAGATTCAGAAACTGGTAAAGGAACGTGCAAAGCAAAGAAATAACTAACTCTGCAGTAACTAACTTCTAACTAACTGCTAAACTGATTAACTAATCTACTGATAAGTTAAATAAAGGTGACTTGTCTTCATCCTTTATTGTGCTGACGTGTCTTCAGCATTTTTCTGATATGGTAATATCCCCCCACAAGTTGGACTTAGAATATCGATGAGTCCCAACTTGGATATAGCAGTAGTAAAGGTAGAAGGGAAGAGTGGCTTAGTAAAGACATCTGCAACCTGTTGAGAAGAAGATACAGGCAGAAGATGAATGAGGCCAGAGGTGACTTTCTCTCGAACAACATGGCAATCTAATTCCACGTGTTTTGTGCGTTCATGGAATGTGGGGTTATGAGTGAGATAGATAGCAGAAACATTGTCACAATAAACTGGAACAGGATTGGGCGAAGGAATATGAAGATCCTTGAGAAGAAAATCCAACCATTGCAACTCACAAGCTAAGCTGGCCAATGCCCTGTATTCTGCTTCACAAGAAGAACGAGAAACGGTTGTCTGCTTTTTTGTTTTCCATGAAATGAGAGAAGATCCAAGGAAGACGCAATGGCCTGTAATAGAGCGTCTGGTATCCAAGCAGCATGCCCAATCGGAATCAGAATATCCAGAAAGCTTCAATGAGTTATTTGAAGGAAAGAACAAGCCATTGCTGGGAGAATTTTTGATATAACGAAGCACACGTAGTGCTGCCTTGTGATGAAAGTCAGTAGGAGCAGAAACATATTGACTTAATTGTTGAATCGAGAATGTAATATCTGGTCTAGTTGTAGTCAAGTATAGAAGTCGTCCCACAAGTCTTCTATAAGGAGAAGGATCAGCCAAAGGTTCACCTGTGGATCGACAGAGTTTGGAAGAAGCATCCATGGGAGTTGTGGCAGGTTTTGCACCAAGCAACCCACTGTCAGATAAGAGCTCTAACGCATATTTGCGTTGATTCAGAGTGATACCTTTCTTCGAACGAGATATTTCAAGCCCCAAAAAGAAGCGAAGTGATCCAAGATCTTTAATTCTGAAACTTCGATCAAGGAATGTTTTGACACGTTGTATTTCTCCCATATCATCCCCAGCTAGAACGATGTCGTCTACATAAACAAGGAGAGCAGTAAAGGAGGATGCTGTTTTAATGGTGAACAAAGAATGGTCAGCTGAAGATTGGATGTAATTCAAGGATTTTAGAGCAGTTGTGAGTTTATGATGCCATTGCCTGCTAGCCTGTTTCAATCCATAGAGGGACTTGGTTAATTTGCAGACCTGGTTGGGTTTGTCAGTAGTAACACCAGGGGGAAGAGTCATATAGACTTCTTCATTAAGATCACCATGCAAGAAGGCGTTGTTGACGTCCAATTGTTCTAGAAACCAATTGTGTGCAGCTGCAAGAGCAAGAACCGTACGAACTGATGTGAGTTTTGCTACTGGGGAGAAAGTATCAAAATAGTCTATGCCTTCTACTTGGTTATATCCTTTGGCAACCAGCCGGGCTTTATGCCTCTCGATTGAACCATCAGCCTTGTGCTTTGTTTTGTATACCCATTTGCAACCAATGGGAGTCTTTCCATGGGGTAAATCTACCAGTTCCCATGTTTTGTTTAAGGCAAGAGCAGCTAATTCAGCATTCATAGCTTCCTGCCAGCAGTGGAATTTCACTGCTTGATTATATGTTGTAGGATCAACCTGCATGATAGTGTTATAGCAAAACTTTCGAAATTTGTGAGAACATGAGTCATAGGTAAGGACCTTTTGAAGAGGATGTTTGATGGATGTGGTTTGAACTGAATTACAGTGAAAGTCTCTAAGGTAGTGAGGTGGGTTTCTGTTTCGGGAAGAACGACGTGATAAGTTGGTTGGTTCTGGATTATTTGGTGGTTCTAGATTATTTGGTGGTTCTGGATTATTTGGGTGTTCTGTGTCTTCAGCATTATTTGGGTGTTCTGGATTAGTGGGTGGTTCATCAACAGGAAGTGGTGCTGAAGAAGGAAAAATATAAAAGGGTTTGGGATTTGAATCATAAAAAGATGTTTGGTTAATGAAAGGAAAATTAGACTCATAGAAAATTGTATTTCGGGAAATGAAAATTTCTTTAGATGTTAAGTCAAAAAGAATGTAACCTTTTGTGAATACAGGTTGACCAAGATGGATGCATTTGCGGGCTCTTGGAGACAGTTTGTGTCTTTGAGAAATCAAGGTGGATGCATATGAGAGACAACCAAAAACACGCAAGTTGTTGAGTATTGGTGGCTTTTGATATAGACACTCATAAGGTGAACTGTGATTCAGCAGAGGAGTAGGCAAATTGTTGATCAGTAAAGTGGCATGAGATACAGCAAAGCTCCAGAGAGAATGAGGTAAATTTGCTTGAAAAGCAATGGCACGTGTGACATTCAGTATATGTTGGTGTTTCCGTTCCACCAAACCATTTTGTTGTGGAGTCTCAACACAACTGGTTTGATGGATAATGCCATGTTGAGAGTAAAAATCTGACATCATAAATTCCTTTCCATTATCTGAACGAATGCATTTCAAGGAAGTGTCAAATTGGTTATGAATATAAGCTATAAAACTCTGCAGTAACTTTCTGGTTTCACTTTTGTGTGACATAAACTTTACCCAAGTGAACCTAGAGAAGTCATCAACCATTGTTAAGAAGTATTTATATCCTTGAATGGAAGGAACTGCAAATGGCCCCCAAATATCCACGTGCAGCAATTCAAAAATTTTGGTAGATTGAGAATTACTTGAAGGAAAAGGTAATCTCTTTTGTCTAGCAAAATGGCATATATCACAAGGCTTAACATGAGTACTGGGAATAAAGGAAAACTGAGTGCATAAATGTTTCAAGACACTCTCTGAAGTGTGTCCTAATCGAAGATGCCACAACAAGGCATCATTCTTATTACATTGAAAAGCAGAATTAAAACTTTTGAATTGCAAAGCTGAACTCTCTGCATTATTGAGGATGAACAAATCACCAACTCTTTCAGCTGTACCAATCATCCTCGATGTAGTTCTCTGTTTGATCAAACATTGTGAGGCATCAAAAGTTAGAGAACAGTCTGAATCATCTAATAATTTTGTCACAGAGATTAGATTAACTCTGAATTCAGGTACAAGTAATACATTCTTTAAGCTGAGAGTTGAAGTGACATTAACTACGCCAGAATAGGAAGCAGTAACTGAAGAACCATTTGGCATACTAATGAGAATAGGCTTAATCTTGTGAATGGATTGAAAAACAGAATGGAGATGTGTGATGTGGTCTGTTGCTCCCGTATCCAAGAACCAATGAACAGAAGTGTTACCTGCAAAAATCGAAGGTTTTCCATCCAAGTGAATGGCTTGAGCCATATTGGTAGTGTGTGTGATCTTGGATTGCTGCATATAGTTCATGAATTCTTCATATTTCTCCCTGGGAACTGAAACTTGTAATTCTGGTGCATTCCTGGAATCAATGGTATTGTTGGCAGAATGTTCTTGAATTGAATTGCATTCTTGAATTGCATTGTTGGCAGAATGTTCTTGCTGTGAGCTCCTTGAGCGATATCCTTGAGGGAAACCGTGCTTGAAATAGCAAGAATCAATGGTATGATTGGTCTTTTTACAGTGTGTGCAATACTTGTTTACTGAATTATATCCTCTGCCAGCATTTGAACGACCTCTCCCTCTAGTCATGTTGTTGCGTCCACGATAGCCTTCTGATGAACTCGCAAAGATTTTTGCTTCTGTTACATCATTACTGCGTATTTCTGTCATGAACTGTCTTTCTTGCTGTAAAACTAGCGAAAAAGTCTTGCTGATATTTGGTAGAGGATTCATCATCATAATTTGGGAACGAACATGGCTGAACTGTTCATTAAGTCCCTTCAAGAATCTGATGACTTGATCTGCTTCTCTATGTTCGCGTGACTGAGCAAGCGTTCCACATGTGCAAGCTGGTAATGGCCTGAGTTTGTGAAACTCATCCCATAGTGTCTTCAGACTTGTGAAATAATCTGATATGGATTTTTCTCCTTGATTCAACTGATACATATCCTCCATCAGATCTGATATTCGAAATATATCAGATTGTGAGAATCGATCTTTTAGGTCAGTCCAAACTTCATTGGCCTTGTCAATCCAAAGAATCGATTGAACGATAGAGTCATCAATGGAATGATGAAGCCATGATAAAATCATTGTGTTGCACCTCTCCCAAGATGCAAATCTCGGATCTTCTTCTGCAGGTGCCAAGATAGTGCCATTCACAAAGGACATTTTGTTCTTGGACTTTAAAGCCACAGTCATGGCTCGTGACCATGCATGATAGTTTTTGCCGTTCAACAATGGTGAAACAAGAACCAAAGATGGAGATTCATTTGGATGCATGTAATAGGGATCTGCAAGTTGGTTATGTTCAGCCATGGATTCAAGAAAGGAAGAAAATAGAATTCAGGAAAGAAAGAAAGGTTTTTGGCGGAAGGTGGATGAACCAGAGCTCTCAGGTGAGCTCTGATACCATCTTATAAATCTTGAATAGAACTTTCATTATGAAAAACTAAACTGAAATGAAGTTACAAATCTGTATATATACATCAGATTCAGAAACTGGTAAAGGAACGTGCAAAGCAAAGAAATAACTAACTCTGCAGTAACTAACTTCTAACTAACTGCTAAACTGATTAACTAATCTACTGATAAGTTAAATAAAGGTGACTTGTCTTCATCCTTTATTGTGCTGACGTGTCTTCAGCATTTTTCTGATATGGTAATAATACCTCTTGGCAATGTACCAAAAAAAAAAAGAAAAAAAAGTGATGGGATTGTTAACAAAGTTATGAAACTACCCACGAATATAATTGAAGTTTGTGTCCTGTTTTTTTACAAATTAGAAAAGGGACCAAACCATACTTAAGGGTGTTTTGGTCTTTAAAAATTGTTGTCAGTTTCCCTCGTCATGGGTAGTTTTATTTACCATGTTCTCATAGGTCATCTTTCGGTCACAAACTATATGGAAAAATTTTTGATGGGTTCAAAAGTTTCCAACCACTGTTTTAACAAACTCTCCTACCAAATATGGCTAACCTATTTTTTTCAATCCCACTTTTCAGGGCAAATAATGATAAGGTTGTTTTTTTGGGACAAGAAGGTTGAGTTTTGAATATAGGAAACTGTCTCTTTTGTAAAAATAAAATAGTAAAGTTATATGTTCTGGATAGCCCACATGCATAGGTCCAGTACTGGGTCCAATCTAAAAGGCCAACCCGAAGTGGCCGGATCTTGAATTCTTTGACAAAGAGTCGGCTTCCTACTTCTAGAAGATATCATAGGATGCCCTCTCTTCTCCACGCACATTGTTGCCCCTGCACATTGGCAGAGGTTCAGCATGCCTAGCCTGAAAAAGCTAGGCTGGCTAGGTTGACTGGAGCTCTTACTCTAAATACTCCCTCTCACATTGAGAAAAGAGACCTCTTCTCCTCCATTTAGCTTCATGCGCTGCTATCATGGAGAGCAATCATAGCCACTCTCACACATACATGGGAAGCTCCATTAGTGCCTTGGTCTTTACCATTGCCACTATGAACATCCCCTATATCAACATACTTCACTTTCTATGGGAGACATTTATGTACCACTGAGTACACTATATATAATATAATCAATTCTCACAACTACTCTCACAAGTTCGGACATCTTAACATATACTAAACATTCAAGTAGTTTATTCTAACCAAATTGCTATAAATACTGAAATGTAAAATTTGAGTAGGCTACTATTATGGAGCTTGAATGACAGGGTCTACACGAGTTTAGTCCATGAAAGATTACTTACATCAATTTTATCCCTAAAATATTGAAAGTATGTCATGTTCGCCCTTTTATTGTCCTCTTTGGAACATTGCCTAATAGAGTCTTACGTGACACATAAGTGTTCTTGCGATGTGTTTATTGCAACCTAGGCATTCGCCGGATGTGTTCAACAAATTTTGTGCATTGTTTTAAAGGATATAAAATTGTATCATTTTAACTGAGAGAAAGAGATAAATCATGGGAAGAGAATGAAGGAAAAAAGTTTTTAAAATGTGGGTTTCATTTTTTTGTGAGAGTAAAAGGATGTAAGGTGCGTCATTTAAAATGACACACCTTTTTTCCTATATTTAAAGGGAAAAATGTGTTTCAATTTAGGGGACGTTTGGTAGAGGAGAATTTTTTTTTATTAGGGAAACATAATTACTAGGGATATGGTGGGAAAATAAATTTGGTAGGAAAGTTAAAAAAAAGTTGTTTGGTAGACTAAAATATTACGAGGAAAAATTGGTAGGCCAAAATATAATCTACATTCACTTCCAAAATGACGTCATTTTGGATTCAAAGATTAAAAAATCATAATGAAAAAGAATATTATAATCCTAAAATTATAATTACTAAGTCTATGTTTGGTTGAAGATAAAATATAGATGGAAAAATATGGTTAAATTACCACAACAACCCTTGAATAAAATAAAATGAAAAAATATGATTTTAGTTTGCTAAAAAGTTTTCCCCAACATCAGGGTTATTTTGGTCTTCTTGCTTGGATTTTCATAACAACCCTCTTTGGATTTTCCCAGCTATTGTCAAATACCACATTGTAGGTGGTTTTATTCAACAGTATTTTTTACACACAAAAAGTAAATACTGGACAAATAATTTTCCTAGCAAATTTTTTTCAAACTTGGTACGAAACATGGACATATAAAAATACCATTTCCATTTGCCTAGGTATCTTCAACAAAAACTTGTACCAAACACACCTTTAAAAGATATAAAGTTGTGTTATTTTAAGTAAGAGAAAGATAAATCATGAGGGAGAAAAAGTGGACAAAAAAATGTATAAGTCTCACCTCTTTATGAGAGTGAAATAACACAAGTTGTGTGTCATTTAAAAGGTCAAATAGTTTCCCCATATTTTAAAGGCTTTAATGTTTTTACAATGAATTTAAATAACTTATGTACATTCACTTTCAAAATGACGTCATTTTGGGTTCAAAGATTAAAAAATTATAATGAAAAAGACTATTATAACCGTAAAATTACAATTACAAAAATACCTTGATTTCCATCTCAAAACGATGTCATTTTTGGCTCAATATAGATAACTTTTTTTTTGGTACATAGCTCAATATAGATAACTTATCTACATTGATTGCAAAAAAAATGAACCCTATTTTAAAATAAACTTTTCAAAAAATTCAACAAACGTAAACAATATTAAGTGAATACAATATATATTTTTATAATCACATAGAATTTAATGCGAGAATAAATTGATATATATATATATATATATATATATATATATGGAAAAAATATTTCTACAGTAACTTTAGATAAGATTATCTATAACTATCCCAAAAATTACGTCATTTTGATTAATGAAGGGTGTTTCTGTAATTTTAGGTGAATTAATGAAGTATATTTTAGTAAAATGTATATGATAATAAAATAAACAAAATTATGGAAACACTCTTCATTAATTCATCTAAAATTACAGAAACACCATTCATTAATCAAAACGTCGTAGTTTTTGGGTAGCTGCAGATAACCTTATTTAAAGTGGCTGCAGGCCTGTAGAAATGTTTACCCCTATATATATATGGTTCATTTTTTCTGCAATCAATGTAGATAAATTATCTACATTTAGCTCAAAATGACATCGTTTTAGAAGTGAATGTATATAACTAATCTACATTCACGGTAGAAATTTTAAAGTATATATATATAGGGATATGTAGCTCTCATGTCACTGCAGATAGGAAAAAGTGCAGCAACACTTATTTTTCTCTGGATACGCGTGCGAATCCTGATGTTTTTTTTTTTAGGCCAGGATACGACCACGTATCCTAGTGTTAAAAATTTGCTGCAACTTAACACTTATTTTTCTCAGGATACGCGTGTGAATCCTGATGTTTTTTTTTTTTAGGCCAGGATACGACCACATATCCTAATGTTAAAAATTTTCTGCAACTTTTCTCATCAGTAGTGAAAGAAGAACCAACGGACCCATATATATATATATATATTTGGTTCGCCATGATACTTGAGAATAATCTCCAATTAATTTATAAAAATAAATAAACAAAATCGATCACATTATCCTTAACGCCTAACAAGATCTAGTATGAATATTTGAGTATTCAATCATTACAAATAACAAATAACTAGATGATATTATTTTTAGGGTTCACTTTTTTTCTCTGGAGTTACTTCAGATAAGTTATCTGCAGTAAGTCAATACGACGCGTTTTGAGACAGAAATTATGGTATTTTTGTAATTTTAATTTATTTCAGGGTTATAATAGTCTTTATATTTATATTTTTTTAAGATTTCAATACCAAAACTATGTCATTTTGGAAACAAATGCAGATAACTTATATGCATTTCACTGCACAAACATTTTTCCTATTATTGGATTATATTATTAATGGCCTTTGATTATCTCTCGTTGTATCTCATGTTATGATTCAATCAGCGGTGGATCCTACACTTATTAAAATAAAAAATTACACACTTTGCAACTTGAAAAAACCCTCTTTCCAATTGTTCATGTGCTGGATAAAAATAATCTCAAGCGAACCTATAAAATTCCGAAATAGATTATCATTTGTCCTTAGCAAACACCGTTTAAAGTTGTCTGTTTTCCAAGAAAGAGTTGTGATGTTGTTCAGTTGAATTGTCAACGTCTTCATAATTTGCTTACACCAATGATGCTTTAGTCAACTCATATCCTTAACAGTTGCCGAATATGGTGCAACAACTTCAATTAATCCTATTATATGTGTGTTTCTCTTTTTCTTTTGATTTGCTTATAAGCAAACTGTAATCATCTTCAACCTTCACTTACTCAGGTTTCTAATTTTTTTCCTTCTTACTTCATTTTGTTCTTTGGTTCCACATTTTCCAAGCTTTTTGGAGAACAGCCAAAATCTCTGGATTTGTTAGATTCGGTTCTAATTTTGCAAGATAGATTTTGATTCTGAATTCTGATCCATTTGGTGATCTGGGTTTTGTTGAACCTCTCTTGGGTTTTTGAATCTTCCCTTTTGATTTTTGATTTTTATTTTTCTTGATTCTGGGGTATCTTGAATTATTATTGTTCAGCTTTGTATCACTGAGCTTGTGGATTGAGCTGAACTAATTACTTCAAATTGAATCTTTTATTCAACTTGAAAAATGGGCGTGTTTTGTTTTTGACAGAGTTGTTAAGCTGATTTGAAATTTTCAAGATAAAAATGACGATTGGAAGTCCTGCACCTAAGGAAGGGAAGACAAAGACAAGAAAGAACAAAACAGTTGTTGATGAGAATGCACCTTTAATTCCTAAGACTCAAGAGACTGATGTTAAGTTTGATGATTATAATGGAGCTTCATTTTCTGGGGCCGTTTTCAACTTGTCCACAACAATTATTGGTGCTGGAATCATGGGCTTGCCTGCAACCGTGAAAATGTTGGGAATGGTGCCTGGTCTTCTTGCTATAATCTTAACAGCTTTCTTGACAGAGAAGTCAATTGACTTCTTGATTAGATTTTCTAGGGCAGGGAATCTTACTTCTTATGGAAACCTCATGGGGGACGCCTTTGGGAAATATGGAAAAGCTCTGGTGCAGATATGTGTTATAGTCAGTAACATTGGTGTGCTGATTATTTACATGATTATTATTGGTGAAGACTATGTTCTTAAGCCTAGTACTTTAAAATTTGAGTAAAGTACTTTTTTGATTCTCAACTAATATCAGACGGCGCAATTTAATCTCATAGGGTAAAAAAGTCGACTCGTATTTCCTGAAATTCAAAATAGACCCATGTTAGTCCTTTAGAAGATTTAATGTGGGTCTTCTTTGAATTTCGGAGGGATTACGATTTCAACTAACTGAGTCTATTTTAAATTTTAGAGGAATCACAAGTCGATTTTTTTTTTCCTTAGGGATCAAAATGGGTCCCGTAATTTTTTTTAAGGACCCAAAAGATACTTTATTTGGATGAACTTTCATTTGTTATTTTAGGTTAAGGTTTTAGTTGATTACCCATCAATCTGTTAAGAGAAGAGCTTAGGGTTGTCTAATCAAGTTTTGTATTGTTCATGTTGCAGGTGATGTGATTTCTGGAACATCTTCAAGTGGAACTCACCATTCTGGTATCCTTGAAGAATGGTTTGGTGTTTATTGGTGGACTGGGCGTACATTTGTTCTTTTAGTTACAACACTTGCTGTGTTTGCACCTTTGGTGAGCTTTAAGCGAATTGGTGAGTGTTCTTTTCATTCATTCATTAATTGAAGTAAAAAATAAAAAGATATTAGTAGCTGTGTCACTTATTTAATTACAAATTCCTGAAAATAACTGTCCATAAATTAGGCATTAGTGTTAGGAAGATGACTGAAACACTGGGATACATGCTTAGAGTGGCATGCATAACTACTAGTTGTAACCACCCTTGGTTGAGCTAGTGACAATGCTAAGGAAGCAAAGAACTTAAAATTTAAGAAAACTTTGTGTTGTTTTGTTGCCATTTATGCTAAATTATGACTACGACACTTGAATGACATGACATAGTAGACATGCATTATAGTTTTAGGATCATTCTATCGCTTTGATACTCTATATATCTTGCATTTTTGTACAAACAAATGAAATCTTTTGAGCAAATTTTTTTTTTTAAGTCTTTGAGCAACGGTAAGGTTACTCCTTGTGTCTGGAAGATTATGGGCTTGTGTCTGGAAAATAGTCTTTTTGTAAAAAAATAAGGGTAAGGCTCCGTATAATTGACCCTCACTCTTATCCTCGCAAGTTGGGGAGCCTTGTTCACCGGGATGTGTCTTACTAGACCATGGGAGAGGTCTTATCATAATATACTTAAGCTAATCTGTTATAACAAATCCATGAAGATTTTATGTGCTTGCTCTGTGGTTGTTGCAGATTCATTGAGATTCACATCTGCATTATCAGTTGGACTAGCAGTTGTTTTTCTTGTGATTGCTGGGGGAATCTCAATCTTCAAGATTATAAGTGGAGGAATTGAGATGCCAAGGCTCTTCCCAATCATTACTGATGCAGCATCATGTTTTGAACTGTTCACTGTAGTTCCTGCGCTTGTGACAGCCTATATCTGCCACTATAACGGTATGAAAATATTTCAGACCTTTGTTTGGATCTCATTTCCTTTGTTAGATTATTTTTTATAAAGAACATACTTGTTTATAAATTAACTTTTTGGGGGATTTAAGGTTGTTTGTGTTGTAATTATAATTCTAACTTCATGATTAATTGTCTTCTATTATGTTATTTTGATACTTTGACTTATGTCTATGCAAGAAGTATTCTGTTTAATTTCTATTTTTTTTTAATAGTTTTTAGTTTTTTTTAATATGTACTCTTTATTTGCAGTTCACAGCATAGATAATGAACTTGAGGACTCCTCAAGGATGCAAGGGGTTGTAAGAACTTCCCTTGCTCTATGCTCTTCAGTGTACTTACTCACAAGCTTCTTTGGGTTCCTACTATTTGGTGAAGCAACTCTTGATGATGTGCTTGCTAATTTTGATACTGATCTTGGAATTCCTTTTGGTTCTGTGCTCAATGATGCTGTTCGTTTAAGCTATGCTGCACACCTTGTACTTGTATTTCCTGTTGTCTTTTATGCAATGAGGGTCAACATAGATGGTCTAATATTCTCTTCATCAAGGCCTTTGGTTCTAGATAACTTGAGATTTGCATTAGTTACTATTGCCCTTATTGGTGTTATCTTTCTGGGAGCAAATTTCATACCAAGCATTTGGGATATTTTCCAGTTCACTGGAGCAACTGCTGCTGTTTGTGTAGGATTCATATTTCCAGCTGCCATCACTCTTAGGTGAGTTTGGTCACTCAATTCTTTTTGTTGAGTAATGGATTGTTTTTCCAATATGTGTTTTTTCTGTTTTCTTTAGACATGTATCCCCAATAATGAGGACACAAAAAAGGGGGTTAAAATATATATATATTTTTTCCAACCGGTTATTAAGAAATTCAACTAATTCGGTTCGAATATTGTTAAATCCATATAAACTTATAAAGGGTAGCTCTCCTAACACTATTTTCTCCATTTTCATGACTCGAGTTCGAGATCTCTAATTAAAGGAAATAAATTTATTACTTGAATCAATGATTGTTAATATTTGATTGACTTAATGTAGATGGTAGGATTTTGTTCTTTTTAACTTGCATGGAGAGGAACTAAACAGGGAAGGTGGAAATAACCTACTGTATGTGCTAAATTCTAATAGGATTCTGAATTTTCTGTTTATGCTTTTGCTGCTAATTAATTAATTAACTCAACAATCATCATTAAATTTTTTTTTTTTTTTATTTTTGACTGCAGGGATCGGTACAACATAGCAACTAAAAAAGACAAGATTCTGTCTATCTTTATGATAGTCCTGGCAGTTTTGTCAAATGCTGTGGCTATATACAGTGATGCCTATGCCTTGATCAAGAAGAACAAAAAGTGAATGATTTCTTTAAACTTTCTTTAGAATCCCATTGTACAGTTATGTAGGTAATGAACAAAATTGGCAGGGTTATTGGCCAACTACAAAATCATGGCTGTTGGTGCTAGTTAATCTCCTAATCATGTGATGATGATTTTTGGCAGGATGATTAAAGAGTTAAATTTGTTGAAAGGGATGCAAGTTGATCCAAAAACTACCTGTATGCAATACTCAAATGATAGTATAAATAAAGTTATTTGAAATATATATACTATGGGTGGGCCTTGAAATAATGATAAGGTTGTTTTTTAGGGACCGGAAGGACCAGTTTTGAATATAGGAAACTGTCTGTTTTGTAAAAATATAAGATTATATACTATATAATCCATTCTCATAATTACTCTATGTAGCGCCGATGATACGGGACACGATATGACACTATGACACGGTAATTCTAAAAAATATTAAATTTTGACACGTTGAGACACGTTTTGATATTAAATAATATTTTTAATTTATGTAGTATATATTATATTTAATATTCAATAATTTAACAAAGAAATAAAGTTAAACTTATAATAGCCATCAATTTTGAAAAAAAAAAAAAAAAGATATCACAAATATTTATATTAAACTCAATAAAATGGTAATCGTAATCCAACGAATCTAATAGTTGTCACTAAAAATGCAACGCAACGCATCTTTTGAACATTTTTTTTATTCTTTACAAAGCGTGTTGGAGTGTCAGAAAGTGTCGAACATGACACGTCAAGATTTTTGAAGTGTACGGTGATTCATAACAATTACTCTCCCTCTCCCGAGTTTGGATATCTTATGCACCAACATATTCTAAACATTCAAGCGTTTATTCTAACCAAATTACTCTAAATACTGAAATTTAAAATTTGAGAAAGCTACTATTATGGAGCTTGAATGACACGAGTCTAGTCCCTGAAAGATTACTTATATCAATTTTATCCCTAAAGTATTGAAAGTATGTCATGTTCGCCCTTTTATTGTCCTCTTTAGAACATTGCCTAATAGAGTCTTACGTGACACATTAAGTGCTTTTGTGACAAGTTTATTGCCACCTAGGCATTCACTGGATGTCTTCAACAAATTTATCCTCTTATGTTTAAAACAATACTTTCAAAAAAATTCTGCAAATTCACTTTAATATAAGGGATGAGGGTCGAATGGTTCTAAGTGGTGGATTTGGTGGGCCTTAATATTTTGCCAAATCTCCACTACTTTTTAGAATACTGAATACTCGCCATTAAAACCAGAAGTTCCACGAGTCTTTGCATTAATGTGTGCGTTAATAATCTAACGTCAAGAATATTAAGTGAATATTTATTTCCAAAAAAAAAAAAAAAAAAAAAAAAAAAAATATTAAGTGAATATTTTTATAATCACATGGAATTTAATGCGAGAATACGCCTAAACCCATATATATTCATTTGGTTCGCCATGCCACTTGAGAATAATCTCCAATTAATTTATAAAAATAAATAAACGCACAAAATCGATCACATTATCCTTAACGCCTAACAAGATCTAATATGAAATATTTGAGTATTTAATCATTACCAGTACCTAGGGTGTAAATGGGCAGGCTGGCCCAGCCCAGCTTACGACCCGTCCTACATTGAACTCAGCCCAGGTCCGACCTTTCAGAAAAGTAGAGTAAGCTTAGGCTTATAAAAAAGCTTTTTTAACAAATAGGCCATAGACCAATTTTGTCAAGCCCGACTTACTGGCCTATTTAATTTATTAAAATAAAATAATATTTATTTTATGTGGCAAAGACGCAAAGTACCAAATACTAATATCTCTTACTTTTTGTGCTATTTTATTTTATGAAAGGAAAACTTGTCTAATGTCTCCAAATTTTACATGTTGTTGCAGCTTAATACCATGGAGTAATGGGTACCTTGCTGGATTATGATGTTACTGATGAAGATCTTTTAATAATACTCTTCTTTCCCTTGTCTTGATGGTGGTTTAAAGATTTTTAGATAAATGACATTCTCTTGTAGACTTTATTGCAGCATCCGGTAATTGTATTTTTCTTATTTTCTCCATTTCTTTGACTCTATTCCTCTATGATATACATTTTAGAGCTGGGGTATTATGTTGACTCTTTCTTGTTTGTCATTTTTTTCTTATGAGAAGTACTAGTGCATGCATGAATGAAACTTTCTTTGCTCTATACAATTATTTTTTTTGCTTAGTATCTACAGTGGGAGGCCTACAAGGCCTGTAGGCCATGTCAGGCTTTCTTATTTTTAAAAATGGGCCGGACTTTACCTACAAATAAAGCCTTTAATAGGCCAGTAGGCCAGATAGGCTGAATTTTTTTTGACGTAGGCTTGGGCCAAAAAGACTAAAGCCCAGCCCATTTACAAGTACCAAATAATTACATGATATTATTTCTAGGATTTTTTTTATAGCATAGTTAGTAAGGGAAAAAAGAAGAAGAAATACTTTGCAAAGAAAGAAAAAGAAATATACATGGAACAAAATCTTGAGATAGAGGACACAACTGAAAAACAGTACAACAATGTTACCATTGAAGTTAAATTATGCATGACATTTGACATACAAAGGATGTTGTCTACAACTACACAGAAAGCTACAAAACTTCCATTCCATGCTCTAGATGCCTATGTACAAACTCTATCCTGGAGCAATCCCTACATCAACTTTGGACAGAATATATACAGCAAATGGAATTATAGAATTATACAATCATGGATTACCAATATTGGCCACAAAAGGTACTAATTTCTTCTGGTCCTTTCTCTTACCTAATGCACTTCTGTCCAACACACGACCAAGAATCAGACTAGTATTCTGCAAAGCTACCTCTTTTGGTGAAACCCCAGCCTCAGTTGACCCACCATGTCCTGGTGTAGAAACTGAGCCTGGTCCAGATCCCATACCATATTGCAGAGGGCCACTGCGGGCCTTGAATGAGGTTTGTGGAGCAAGTATCTTTTCTTCAGTTCCACCAATTCCATTCTCAAATGAACCAAGTTCATGTGGGTGAGAACCAGTCAATGAACTGCAACTTTGTAGAAGGGCTTCTAACACACTTAGTGCCTCCCAACACAAAGTGCTTTCTACCAATTGGGATACAATTGCATAGATATGTGGGCTCTGGGCAGCATCCATTGGAGTGTGCTGGAGGAGAGCTTTGAGCATAAGTAGAATGACACGTTGATACTCAACCGGTCCCTTTTCTAGCAGCCTTAACAAGTGCCCAAAGGCCAAAGTCGAATGTTTTGGAAACCATTCATTGCACAGTAATGGTGAAACACATGCCAGAAAATTATCGATGCTCTTAATTTCACCTCGAGAGTAAATCATAAATACAGTAGCTAATTCATCCAAAGATTTTGCTCGACACCAAATTGCAATATTAGCAGCAACAGAGCAAGCCTTTTGATATTGATGTTGGAGTGGTGAAGCAGGACCTATCACTGGGTCTTTGCTGAGTTGAAGACAGAGCCAGGGGAGTAATCCTATAATGTGCATCAGGAGTCTTGTCTCAGCATCACCAAATATAGAATCACATGAATGAACTGTTATACGAGAGAGGACATCAATAGAGACACTGTGACTGACATTCGACATAAGTCCTTTAAGAACAAGAGGCTGCACCCCTTCAAATGTTGGCAAACTCCCCTCTTGAAGAGGTTCATAGCCACTTTTAGATTCTATACGTTGTAATTCTCCTAAATCGCTAGTATCAAGTTCATCTCTAGGCATGCTTGAAAGGAGCACATTTTCTGTTGTGCGATCACGGAAAGATAAACGGTCAATCACGTGAGAGAAGAGCTCCAGAACCTGGCGGTAGACATGGACAAAATCTGTGTGCATCATAGCAACACACCCCCAAAATAGCTGAGGATAGAGTATCACCTTCTCGGGCTCCATATTCTCCACCATAACTTGCAATGTCATTAAAATTTCCATAACAAATCCCAAAACTTGAGGTACTGGATTTCCCAGACATCTATGGAGGCACCGAAGAAGGGATACACAAGCATCATTTGTTACACTTGGTCTAAGTGCTCTGTAGATCTGATGTGAACGGCAGGCAAGGTGTCTTGATGTGCACTCCATAGCCCATCTGAGTGCTTCTTCTCCCCAAGTCTCACGAAGGTCTCCTTGGAAGAATATAGCATCCACCATGCTCTGAACTAGGGCAGAAAGAAGTGCTGCACTTGGCAGCTCAGTTCTGACAACTGTCGGATCCTCATTCTCCCACATCATGCTTCCTCGCTTTGATTGTACATATTTAATCAGGCTCACAACTTGCTGCTTGTTCTCCCTATCATTATTTTCCACCTCATACTGCTCCAGGTGGCGGCCTGCAAGGGAATATAGCAGATTAACAAGCAAATGCTGACAGTGCTCTAGTACAATGTCTTCGGAGCTATCCATTGAAACAAAGATGACATGAAAGAGCAGAGGCAAGTATTGACGGAAGTCTTCATCATTTTCATATGCTATTTCAGCAAGAAGAATCAGTGCTATATCTGCATGCGTAAGTGAATGCTGCTGATGACCCTGTAAGGCTGATTGAAGCTCTTTTGCACTCACACCATGCATGGCACCTCCAGCATGCAGTCCATCTTCACCTGAGTTTGGAGTGTCGACAAGATAGTCTCCACTGTCCCGTGAAACATGGCGGCTACGCAAACTCCCTGTTGAACTTCTAACACCCATCAAGGGTCCTGACATATTAACCAATGCCGGAAGGAGCTGCCCCGATCGCCCTGCACTTACTGGAACAATATTCAACTCTGGAGGCATCGGACTTAATGGGCCTGAGACACTACGGCCTCCTGGCATACCTGCAGTTCTCCAGCTCAAGCTCCCACTAACATTTCTTAGTGGACCATCAAGAGAACCTCTTACAAGCAATGGGGACATGTGTGGTTGATTATCCATAACCGATGCCATTGGGGCCATAGTAGGACCTTGGGAGAATTCTAACACAAAATTTGCACTGGCATCACCCTTATTTGCACTTGGCCCAACTGGCTCAATGCTATCCTCCCGTCGCTGAGACAGCTGGAAGACTAGGTGATCAATAGTGCGTTGAGGGCATATTCGCGCTAAATATAGACTTACTCGCTTTGCAACACTGAAGTATGTAGCAAATGCGCCACTTATTTCAGTTGATGCATTTGAATCACAGTCTTCAATGCCTTTTGTGATCAAGAAATCTAAAACTGGACTGATATTCCTATTTTTGCTAGCAATTGTGCTCCAAAGTTTCTCAATTTCATCGGGAAATTGGTCTCCGTGCCGCCATGTTACGTAGTAAAGACTTTTCAATAACCTCTCACTCCAGCCTTCCTTGAGTTTCCAGAAATTAAGGTTCTCAATCCATGGAGCCATGCATGTTAAGACCTGATGCTGAGCAATTATATCAACAGCATCTAATTGCCTCTGCATAATCTCCTCACAAAGAAGTTGGCTTAGTTCAGGATGATCTTTGGCAAGTTTACAGGAAAGCTTGTATTGGAATTGTTGGTAGGAATCAGGAAGATTACCAACAACAGCAGCTCGATAACTTCCTGAACCCTCAATGCCATCCTCAGCCCATTCACGAACAGAAAGTGTCTCAAGCATCTGAAGGGCATCATCACGAATTTGTCTTGATGGGTCCACAACCTTGTAAAGGATCAGACTCAAGAGTCTCTGTATTTCACAGTTTGGTATCTCTTGGCGCATGTAGACCTCAGCCAGTACACTGAAGTACCCGTCAGCCACAGAAGAATTAGAGTAGTAGCACTACAAAAAACAATGAAGATGTATAAGCATTGCAGAGTGCTTATGTTTATATAAATTGATCCATCCATCGAAGAAGCATTAATATATTTTATACTAATATTTTTATGTATTATCGTGTCCTTAAAAAAAAAATATTTTATATAAAAAAATTACAATAATAAATTCTCTCATGATAATATTTTTTTGATGTAGTTGTTATGAAATAATAAAATACATTATCACGTTAAGCACTTGGTAAAAATAAACTGATTTCCGGATTCAAACATATGACCTTTCAATCACAAAGGAGAAACTTTCACCACTTCTCCAAGTTTGCCCACAAATGTCAAAATTACATTGAGCGAAGAATAAAATAGAAATGAAAAAAAAATAATAATAAAGAAAAATAAATCAAACGTTGTCAAGGACCAGCCAACTTTCCTAAAAGTTGAAACTTTAAATTGTTAAGTGAAAGCTTATGAATGACTACACATATCTAACATGCACTTTCATGCAAGAGCCCTTTGGACTTGAAGCATGGACAAAGCAAAAGCTGATTTATACCATGTTTAGAGATTAAACTTTTATTAAGAAGAATGGGACAGCAATGGCCGAACTATTAACACTTAGTCATAAGGCTTTGATACCATGTAAAGGACAACTCTTTTAAAAGCCTTAAGTGCATTTTTGTTTTAAGATTTTGGGATTGGCAAAAAGACGTTGAGTTAAAGGAGAAAAAATTAGCTTAAACTAACAGTGGGTTAGAAATCACATTGATAAATATGCAAATGTGGGTTGGCATTGCGAAAATCTCAAACAAACAAACTATAATGAATGACTTTACATCTATTATTATTTCCCTAGGCATTGTGAGACAATTAACATTTGTGAATACCTTTTTTTAACACTAAAAAGTAGTATTTACTCAGCCAGTGGCTTTTAAACAGCTGTAGAACTTTATTGCTGCATCCTTAAGTAGGAGCACAATGCTTAATGGGATGTGATGCATAACACAGGGTGAGACTGAAAATATTACCTGATCAATGCAGGAGGGAAACAAGTCCAAATTTGTAAGCAAAAGATTCTTCAAAGCCAATTTTGCTAATGAAACACGGTGATGGCCACCCCTAAGCCTATCACGACCAGCAGTTCCCCGGCCACCTTCCCCCTGATACTTGGTATATGATGGAGTTCTTGGATCAGCTGGTGAGAAACCAAATGGAGCCCTTGGTGTAGGCTCCAAAAACAAACCATTAATCCAAGATATCACACGGCCACTCATTTTCCTTGCATTGTCATCAAAACATGGTCCATATAAAAGGGATGCTATTGCATTCATGGATGCCCACTGGATTGCCTCAACTTGTTCATTCAATTCTTTGTCAAACGATATTTTATCCACAGAATCTTTTGATCGTGCATGTTGCGAAGACTTGTAACGTTCAACTTCACGTCTGTAATCACTGACACTATCTTGACCCCATGTGCTGCCTGTATCATCACACCAGGAGAGAAGAAGATCAAATAGGCGCTTTCTAGTTCTAACGTCAAATTTCTCAGACTTTGAATCAACAAATTCAGGGGCTAAGGATCTTAGAACACAAGCAAGTGCATAGCGATATGGTTGCATGTCTTGAAAACTTTCAGGTGAAGCTGAGATTAGTTTGGTTGTCTCATCAATGAATTTAAGATAATGGAGGCGGAACACTGGCTTGCGTGCCAGCATCCCAGGCCATATATTTTCTGCAACAGTACGATATATATTTGCAATGTGGACACGGAGCTCTTCCCTGCGAGCCTTTTGACTCTGTATCCATAAAATATAAATTGTAAGTGCCAAACTCTAATTCAAAAATTAAGGTGAAGAAGCAGCCAAAGCAATAATTAATCAAAAGATTTAATTATTTCATGTGTTCTAAGTTGAAATATGGAATATCATCTATAACATCATTCGCATATGCTGAAAAGGTTTAAGAATTCAAAATTAAAAAAAAAAAAAAAATTCTTTTACCATCATGTTATCCTTATCATTCTACCTCCCTCAGTGGCCGATAGAACAAATAAAAACAAATTTTACAGATCCATAACAATACCTTCCACTTTGGTTTTCCTTCTGTCTCAGAAGAAACTTCCTCAATAAAAGACGCAAGCTCACTAAACATGCTTTCACATGCTTCCAAGTGTGAGCGGCCAAGAGCCATGGTGGCTGCATGCTATATTAAAATCCTCCTTAGCAATAAATAGAGACATTAAAAGTGGTGTGCAAAAGAATGACAGTAGAAAATGCCTATACATCAATAGAACTGCAGTAATTAACAGCCATCAATCCTCCTAATACCTCTCCCATTGAGAAAAAGAATCAACACTAGCAAATATTAAAGGATTTATTTCAATAGTTAAACCACAAAATTAATGTTCAACAGTACATATGCAAGAAATGGGAGCAAAATAAATTTATTAAGATGAAGAGAAGATTATTACAAGGAATTTGGAGGATAAAGGATTCCGCATAACCAATAATAAAAAAAAAAATAGAAGAAAAATAATTCAAAAAAATATATATATATATATATCAACTGAGAAAAGAAGCCCAATCCCTCTGCATATATGTTAGGGAAAACCCCTTAAAAACTCTAGATGTTTTCCACCAAACAGAAGCCAATCACTTAACCTCATCCTAAATCAGCAGCTGGGCCAACAAAACCTCCATAAAAATTTAAACTTTATGCTCCAATCAAAATATCATATAAACTAATAAACACATGAATCCTATGCATACTTGCATTCCCATGCAGCTTATTATGGGAATAATAAAAGCAATATTTATGAGGGACATGCACAAGATTTTTCAGTATTGACCATCATGCATGCTACAGAAAAACCACTGGGAAATGGAAGCAGGCAATGGTCATTGGCATGCAGATATCTCTCGTGTGAAGATAGACTTGTGGATAAGTTCAGTGAGGTGTACTTACAACATGTGCATCGGATCCCGATTTTAGAGAAGGGAAAATAAGATGATAAAGATCTTTGATTGCTCCAATTCCACTAGACTCTCGAGCAACTGGTGGACATGAGCAGACAAACATGGCATACATAAGCCACTGGTCCAGTTTATTATCAACATCCTGTGACTGGTGAGCTTTTCCACCCAATTCAACAGGTGTGATATGATCAAGACGTTGCATAACCTCTACCCTGCCCAGAGTTAAGTGATATTACAAAGTTTTGGCCAGGAATTCGAAACAGACTGACTGAAGGAAGTAGGGGAGGGGGAAGTGACACAAGTGAGTAAAAATCACTTTTTTCTCCATAAAAGTCATAAATCATTCAACGCAATATTTTTTTAAAAGAGTTTATATGAAAATTACTGGTAAAAATAATAAAACATCAGTTTTTATTGTTGGCACAGAAACTCAAGATTCAACACAAAAATAAATTAAATAAAATAGATACAATGAAAACTTTAAGATTATACAATAACGAAGGCCTTTTCCTACCAGGTGGGGTTGGCCACATGGGTCAATTAACACCATTGTGTAATGTCAAAAACAAAAAAGAAAAAAAAAGGATTAAAATTTTCAAAAATCCAAGACAATATATGTCCTTTGTGTTTATTACAGTAAGTGAAAGTATAGCAATCTGCAATGAAGCATAATGAAAGCAATTAAGAAAAAAGAGGGAAAAAAGAGAGTCTAGGTTAACTGTCCATGCCTTATTTTACCTTCTATGTCCTTTAGAACTTTGCTTTCCCTTAAGGTGGTAATGGTTCTCATGTTAAAATCTGGGAAGACATTGCATTCGTCCATAGGAGAATGCTTGTTGAGAGAAGTTTCCCACACCTCTATCATCTAACTTTAGTACATATCTCTCCTACCACAATTTCTATAGCATTCAAGATTCCATTTTTTTCATGAAATTTCCACTTTTTTTGTAATTTAAATGACAGGGAATTTTTTCATTGGACTCTCTTTCAGGTTGCATTGACTCTCTTCATTTGTCTTGAAATTGGATAAAAGGATTTGGTCGCTTGATTCTTCAAAGGTGTTTCATTCAAATCCTTTTTCCAATTTCTACCTTATTCATTGAATAGGACTTGGAAATCTTGATAATCCCATGGAAGTCCAAAGATCCGTCAAATGTCAAGTCTTTCATTTTACTGAGGCGGCTAAAAGAATTAAATAATAAATACTAACAAAACGTCACGTTTTGGCAAGCCACATAAGGCTCCTGATGTGTTATGTGTTGCGCTTGTTCAGATTTGATTCCTCGTCACTTCCTACATTGTTCTGCTTCTGTCTATTTATGTAAGATGGCTGTTTCGGTGAATGTTGAGTGTGCCCTAGGTCCTTCAACCAATTTTCATTCACTAGGTTTAGTGGTTCGCAAAGAAGTGAAGAAACTCAGTATTTATAGCAATGGGCATTTGGTTTAAGAGCAGTGCTTGCATTTTTTTAGGAAGTTTCATCGTCAATGCAGCTGATCAGAAACAAGATTGAGTGATTGGCTTCTGTTTAGTGTAAATAAAGCACATAGTGCTTTTATGGGGGGATCTCTGCTCGATTGATTTTTCTCTTTTTGTCTCTGTTGTTTATTTTCCCACTTTCGACTGTAGAGGATTCCTAATCCCCCAAATTCTAACTTTTTTCTCTTCATGTTTGTTAACTTCTTTATTTATGAAAAAAATAAGATTATATTCAAGGGTTGAGCTTTGTTATTTATTAGGTTTCTATCCTACGTAAAGGGATTTGACAGCTGTAACAGGATTATTGTTCAATCAGTCAAACAAAGAAATTTAGTATCTTTTCCTGGCCGCTTAGCCTAAAGACCAGCCTCATTTTGATTGCTTTTTGGATTTCTTTGCCCATTATTTTCCACTAAAATATATCTAGTTCTACAAAGCTAGTACTTCGGCAAAGCATAAGAAGAAAAGGAAACACAAATGTATACTCACTTTGCTTCCTGAACAGAACTTGGACAAAGTTCAGCAGCATATTTGACTAGCTCACTAAGACACCGAGCCCATCTGTTCTTGTCAGGGCTCTCAAATATTATAGATTGAAGTGTCACTTCAGGAGGAATGGCATCAGGTTCTCGTTTCAAATCAAATGGTCGCCCTGAGTCCCAATAGCAGTTCTGAACAATCTCATCCTGCAACACCCAGATTATATTTAAATATTTATTTAAGGCAAAAAAGCTCAATATTGCTTGATTGAACCTCAAAATAAATAAGACGAAAAGATCATTATGAGTTTCTGAAAAAATTGGATCTTAAAATAAAAATAAAGGCAAATGCGTACCCCATGTTCTTCCAGAACATCAATAATAAATATTGGTTCAGCTTCATATTTTAAAATATGATTTGGTTGCTCATGTATCCTCAGGTCCCGAATATCATTCCTCAGTGCACGAACACAGCGCAATAATTCTAATGCTGTATGCCTAATTTGACTATCAACAGAGCTAAGGAATATGAGGCCAACAGCATCAATTTCTGATGCACGAAATTCAATTGCTTCGCCTGATTGTTGGAAGGAAGACTTTCTGAATCTTTCAGTTTCATGCCCCAGAGATTTTGCATCTGCATCAAGTTGCATCCAATCATCTATTAGACAAGATCTCCAAAAGCGCATGAGTTCCAACAGGCGCCCTAATGATGTTTGAATGAGAAGAGGGAATTCATCAGGAAGTCTTAATATGAAGTTAGCCATTCCCTTCATTACTGCAAAACGACGATGGGGTAGGTATTTCACAATACGATTAAGTACTTGCACTGCTTCCTCGCGAACACCAGGGTCAATACTTATGCCATGTTGTGGTATTATTTCAGCAATCTTATCACTTCGTCCAACTTCTTCTATTAGATATGGGATGCACTTTAGCACAGAGCGGAACAGATACCCTTGAGACTTTTCCTTGGTTACAGCATCTACAAAATAGTTACTTCTAAACATGTCATGATGGCGGAAAAAATTCAGTCGTAAAGCAAACAGACAGTATAATCTAAATAAATAAATAAAAATGAAAATTTTTAAGTAACTAGAAAGGAACTGATGTTCCTATTCAAATAAGTTCTACTTTCCAATTTCTGTCATTTTAATCCTATCATATTTTGCAATACCAATAAGCATATTCAATAAATGTTCTGAAAGTTAGAGCTTAATATCTATATTCCCATATAACTAGTACAGTATTACTCAAAATTCGTGAAAAGACTAATTATGTGCAAGACCTCAATTCTAAACAATATTTATCTTTTAACTTGCACTTTATCAATATCAGTATAGTGTCCAAAGCACTAGTAAAGTGAATTTACATGTGCATAAATCACTTCTTTTTCAATTAGAGAAGAAATTTATAGGAGACATAAAACAGAAATAGAGAAGCCGATATAAATATTGCCCATGAAATCAAGAAAACAAAGTAAGCAATCGTAAATAAAAATAGACACTCATGTTCCCCATTCTCTCGGTAGATCCATCAAATAAGCATGCTTAAGAAACATGTTAGTTAGAAATGGTTAAATAGCCAAGACAACCCTAGCAAATAGAACTTGTACATAATTTTTTCAGTTTAAAAAATTACACATTTTTTATACATCATTTCATTACACAACCAAAAATAAAAAGAAAAGAAAATATTCTTAAAACACAAGACCAAGAGACTATCAAGGCGACATATATATAACTCAAATTAAGTTACAACATTTCATTTCACTTAAAAATTTTAAAATTCAAGCAAAAAACAAAAGTAGAAATGCTGTAAACTTCTCCTAGGAAAAAAAAATAATTTGTTTGAATTTTCCTCCTTTTTTTTTTCATTTTTCATTTCTTTTTTAAAATGCTCAGTTCAAATCTTAGAAATAGGAGACAAAGGCAAACTATTATGCCAAAAATAGTACTTAGAGAGCACACAATTCAAGAAACATATTTGGGTCTAGATTCCACAGATCTGTTATTTATAGTGTGGATTCAATCAGGGAGCTAATTACTAACTAATTTACAGCAATATAGTTGACTAACTATTTACACGTCACTAAATAAGCTAATATTTAAATAAGAATAATGCCCTTATGTTTTGATTTGTATAAAAAACTTAAAAAGAGTAAAACAGTAATGTAAAGAGGCATGCAATTATTATTGTGAAGAACAAAATCAACCCAACCCTGAAGCTTAAGCTATTATGTGGAGGCATGTTAATGGGTTTTATCCTAACACTCCCCTTCATACAAGACCCCTTTACTTTAGGCTTGAAGTGTAGACAATACACAGGCTGACAGGCCTACTTTTACTTATGCTAAATTAATTTAATCATGAAGAATGGGGAGGTTGGATAGCTATTTTGAAGAATGTGATAGCAAAAAATGAACTCCTGACCAATGATGCACGGACACGGACACGGGACACGGGACACGACACGACACGACACTCCGACACGTTAATTTTAAAAAATGCTAAATTTCGACACGTTGGGACACGTTTTGATATTAAATAATATTTTTAATATTTTTAAAGCCCACAACATAGTCCTTAAGATAAGTTGGGCAGTCTCTCCTTCTCATGGCCCATATCTCCTTGCTAACCAGATCAGATTGGATAAGTGGGCTTGCTACATCACTCCCGCCTCCAAAAATGGGCTTGTCCTCAAGCCCAGCTGAATTGGAACCATGTGCTGTAGCAATTGAGGGATCCGTGTTGGAAATTTGAATAGACGGAGGTTGAAGCACGTGAGGGGCAACTGGGGTGGAGTTAGTGCCTGCCAGTTGGGATCCAACTGAGGATGTGTATGGTGAGGATTTTGCCGACATGTGAGAGGTCAGCGTAGCCATTGGATCTGAGTGGGGTTGAGCTTGTTGAGGAAGCTTCGTGGCTTTTGAGGGCTTTGGGAAGTTCAAAGCTGCCAGACTCTTAGTGGTGTCATTATCTCCCTGTCCATCTCTTTCTACCCTCGTACTCTGGTCTGCTCCCATTACTCCTTTATTTTTCGTTTTGCTTTTCAGTTTCCTAAGAACTCCGGTGGAGAGTCCAACTCTTTGTAGAAGAGAACGACCAGCAGCAGCCTCTAGCGTTAAGCCGTCAACGAATGAGAAAGGAATAAAGGATAGGGTTCCAGTTCCAGACTTTTTAAATTTTATTAAATATTTTTTATTTTTTTTAATTGTAATTTTATTTCTTTTTTACAAAAAAATGTCAAAATCTGTCACAAAACGTGTCCAAATACGTTGACCGCGTGTCGGATTCGGTCAAATTCGCGTGTCCCACTAGTCAACGTGTCCCAAAAAGTCTACTGCGTGTCGGACGCGTGTCCGAACGTGTCCGTGTCGGACACGCATTTCCCCCCAAAATTGCGTGTCCGTGTTTCAGAGCTCCTGACTGCTTGATTATATACACTTTAAATACCATTGGAAAAACCAACTCTCCTAAAAGTTTCAGCTATTCAATCTGTGTTTTTGTCATGAAAATAACATTTGAATGCTAATTAAATATATAAAGTTTGTAACGTTATAAAGGTAATTATAAAGTAAAATAATACTTTTTATTAAATTTATTTAATGGATCATATAATACAATTACCATTTTTGTCCACATTATCTCCACTATCTTCTCTCTTTAATGCCTCCTCCATCCTCCTATTATATATTTTTCAAAACTATTGTATCTTGTGTTCTGAATGCACACAAAATTATTTGTACATAATAAAATAAAGAGAAAATGAAGCAGTGGACTTAAGTATATACCATGTGATCAAAGTGAAATTCTTTACTAATGAACTCATAAGTAAAGAAACATGTTTTCCATAATATAATTTGAAGTTTGATTCAGCCTCTCTTATCGTTATGCTTCTACTCAAACTCTATCTTCTATCCAGTTGGCATATAATAGGAGAAGCAATTACCTATTGTGGTCCGTGAAGATGTCAAAAGTGCTTGACTATAGGTTCTATGACATGACCTTATTATTGATTCAATTGCAGCTTTCACTTTTGGAATGTAGTGGCCAATATCATGACCTGCTCATTCAACGAAGTGTCAAGTTTTTACGGCAGAAAATAGATCTCTAAACAATTATTTCAATTAAATGTATCTGTGTAAAAATTAGTCTAGGCATATGACTTCTTGTACCTTTAAAAATTTCCAAACCAAAATGCTGACTTGTAGGTAACAGGACAATGGCAAGCAATGCACGAAGACCAATAACCTTTGCTTCACTGGGGCTGTCTTGCTTGAGCAATTCTAGTATCATATGGTTCATGGTAAAATCAAGGTTATGTTCAGCTATAGTAACACAGAATTCGACAAGTTTATCATGTTGGACATCCTGAGTAAGCAATCCTTTCCTTAGAACTGCTAAAAGTTGTAAAGTAACACTGTCTAAGTAGTCCCATATACGATTTGGGGCCTGGTTAGCCGCATGGACACTCAAGTAAAACCTTAAAACTCTATGAAGACAATCCAAAGCCATGAAACGATGATTCTTATCCTGCATGATCCAACAAAGGAATAGATTCTTCATATAATTAAAAATAATCATAATGAAGAGAAATGATAAAGTAACTATGAACTCTAGTTACAAACTTATACATATTAAGAGCTTAAGAGAAACTATCTACATGCTTTCATCAGGGAGAGAAAAAGGACATTTTATCACCCATCTCCACCTTACCTATACTTTGGACTAAATGCATTTGGGAACTCCCTAAAAGAGGATACTGGTGTACACATTAGGAATACTTGCAATATATGTAAAAATTAGAAATATGGATTATATCATTTCAGTTGTTTTGAAAGTATGGATAATTGAGGTAAATTGGTATCTCAGATGACAGTTGGCTTGTCTATTTGAATATTAAAATGTCGTTACATACATAATAAGATGGCCTGTGTTTCTGATGAATTGAGATGATTTTCATCAGCTATCTCTATTCTCCTTCTCTCCCCTTTCTCACTCCAGATTCTCCCTTGCACTGCCCTGCCCCCATTCTTTCCCCCTTTTCCATTAATGTAATGATTGTCCTACGTCAGAAGGATTCAAATATGAATTTGCCTACATCCCTAGTGGACTTTGACAAAACAGTTAGGATCACTCAAACCCAACCTAAATTTTAAAATCCTAGGAGCAATCCAAGAAAGGATTTAATCACTAACCAGGTGAAATTTCTTTGGTCAGAAGCCTGAACAAAGGATACCTATCCTTAAACCTGTGCTAAGATTTAATTCAGAACGGATCCGGATGTTAAGGATTAAACCCTTGACCAAATGATCAAAGAGGCCCTAATACCACCATATCTTAAGGAACAAATTCAACCCCAAAATCTTATGCTGCTGGCGCAAGCCTAGAAATGATTCTAATCTCTAAAATGTAGGTTGTTTTCAGATTTCCTAAACATAAAACTCTTGTTACTCAGATTTTATGTGATTAGTCCTCATGGCATCTTCTAGAAATTCTAATACTAATCAGGAAAGAGAGAAAGGAAACACTCCTATGCATAGTCATCCAATTTAATTGTATTTTAAGCAAAATGACTATTTGAAATTTTCATTTTTTCACCAAACAAACAAGGAAAGGAACAGCTTTTATTAGTGACCCAACTTTATATATTCATATATTTAGTAGTTATTTATGATACAATATATATATATATATATATATATATATATATATATATATATATAAATGGGACAGGTCTTTTAACATCGGTGTCAAAAAAAAAAGTTTAACACCTCATCTAAGAGTCGTTGATCTTGCCTTAATCTAATGACTCTGATTTGTAAGTATGTGACACCATTGATTTTCCTTGATCTAATGGCTCTCAGATGAGATGTCAAAGGATCCTATCCCTATATATATATGTGTGTGTACAGTAAAAAAAGAAAACTACTCATGTGACATATAATGAAAACATATAAATATACAAACAATACTGCTTTATTTAACAGAGGAAGCATTTATATTGAAACAAATAAAACCTTAATCTCAACAAAATTGAAAGGATGGTAAACTTTATCTTGTCCTTAGAATTTCTCTACCTAATTTTTAAGAGTAGGATCTCCAAACCCAGAGGGAGAAAAGAAAGTAAAAAGAAAGGAAACAAAACAAGTAAACAACAATAAAACCACTCCCCATTAAACCCTGACTAGCGAGGATGGAATGAGGGCAATCCTTGTATGCAGCCTTACCCTTGCATTTTTTGTAAATACATATTTTATCTTTCTCTTATCATGCAAAAATAAGATTAACCATGATGACAAATACTTAGCATTTTACCATGCATCGTATGTGCGATAACTGTTTAAAATTCAACCTAAAAAATTATTTAATCTCCAATATAATAAACAAAGAAAAGACTATTTTTGCCATGACTCAGATGCAAAAAAAGCCTATGTGAATTGAATTTGAACATACCCTGAGAAGTTTGTAGAGTTGCTCCATGTGAGGACTCAAGTTGTTTTGAAATATTTGCGGATCACCAAGACAGAGAAGAAGTGTTACCAACGGGTACCCAACCTGGATTACAACAAAATAAAAACATTAGCACAACTAGCATTGAAAAATCATAAAATTGGTAAGAGAACCACTTACCGCGATGTGTTTGCTCTGTTTATCCATCCAATGCAAGAGTTGAACTCTTATACGTCCAACAGCTTCATACCACAATGTAAGTGCTGGCTCTACACCAGAAGGAGGCCACTGGCTTTTCCCACCATCTGCAAGAGGTGCGAGGATGTTTGAAAGCATATTGCATAGAGCATGGTGAAGTTCACTTTTCCGTTTATGAGGAGCACGGTTTAAAGGGTTTGCTTTTGCCACAAAGGAAGCAGATGCATTTAATCCACCCTCAGTTTTAACCTGGGAAGAAGCTTATAATTATACCAATATCATGTAATGCTTTCTGCGAAACATTTAATGTTCACACATACCCCAAGCTTCAGGTAGCGCATCCCATTAATGATACTAAGTGTTTCACTTCTAGCAGCACTGGTGTCAATTCGACGAGTATTGAGTTCCATGAAAAATCGCTCAGTAACAGAACTAAACCTACAAAAAAAAAAGATAGGAATACCATGAAATAACAACAGATTTCGTTTTTGAGACAAAAAGCAAGACAATAATTTCCCAGAGCCCATGACTAAATTAAACCATTCTCAAATGGATAGAAGCAGAAACACCCCTTAAATTTTAAAATTTACTATACAAGATAACCATGTAAAAATTAGAAAGCTTTAATATTCAGGGAGGCAAGATAAAAACATGTATAGCTCCACATATGAAACGGAGAACTGGATTATACAATTCACTTCTTATTAATTAGTAAATATATAGATTTTATGTTCTGAAAATCCTTCTCTTCAGATACACCTTTGCTGAATTGCTGCAAACAAATGAATGTCATGTATCCAAAGAACAATAGTTATCCAAATACAGAACGCATGTATGTGCGAGTGTAAGAGAGAGAGAGAGAGCATGAAAGATCCAATTAAGAGCATACTCTTACACGTCAATCCTATGACATCCAATTTCACTTTTCTGACAAGGAAAGCCAATCTAAGTGTAGCAGACGGGGATTCAAGTCTCAGGGAGCATCTAAGCGTACCAATAATCCTATTTCTTAATTAGCATACAATCTATTGTCAATGCTTTATTCATAATTAGTATAAACTATAAAGGCATCAACTAAGAAATCAGAGAAAACCAACACATATACCAGGATTCGTATAGGATACAAGTTCACCACTTGTCCATACTACAAATCACTCAAGGATAAACCATAAAACGTTGAATTCCTCCCCTAAAACCTGTAGTTTACATTTGTCAGGACTGAGTACAATTTCTATCCTTAATTGCGAGTACAGACTATCAAACTTCAAATTCACAGAGAAGAAAACTTCATATTCAAAACAAAAGTTTAAAATCATTCAGAGTTCAATGTATAATTCATCTATAATTCTTCAAACCAAGCAAAACTGTGTATACATATCAAAAACAAATGAATCTAATTAATATTATGATGTTATCATTATATATGTCTTAACCTCATAATGGTAAAATAATTCTCAATCATAATGGATATGTTTCAAGTACAACTCAGCGAGAAATCATATACCTGATGCGGGATAGAGCACCTAAGAGTTGAGCAACTAAGTCCAGAAGAAGCCCCCTCAGATCAACCAGTGAGGGATATTCAACCTGACTAACAACCCTGCAACATGAGTTCATTAAGTTCACACCAACAATTCATATAAGAATAAGAGAATACAAAAGTCTATGGAAACTTAATCATGAATCTTTATATTTCGCTTCTGAAACAACATATTCTAGTCTGAACGAGAGCAATAGTTCGTTTAATTTAATCTTATCTGTAGTTCAGCTTAATTAAATTGAAAACACATCCAATGCTGAGTACCCTTAAAAACCAAACAGAGGAGAAGAGTTTCCTGAATATTATGCAACTATTACACACCTGCAGACTCCACGAGGAAATTGCAGTTATGTTAATGTTATGACTTCTCAGAGAACTGTGACAAATAGTCAAACTTTGTCGTTGTTAGTAAGTTGCCTGGCTTTGGGATTGGATTTCAGCAATTTCTTATGAGCACTGGGTTTGGCCAGCATTGTTAGACCATTTTTACACATTCATTTCAGAGGTTTTGGTAGGAGTGTAAGATCCTTTGGAAATCTACTGCTCATTCAGGTTTGTGGTGTTTTTAGCTGAATTGAAATGCCAGAGTTTTTAGTCAGAAGTTTCTTTCTTCACATGTTTTATTATAAGAAAGCAGGATCTATTTAAAACACATAGGTCAGGGGCACTGCAGCACTGATTGACCATAGGCTACAGTTTTTTAAGAGGGTTCTAGAGTGACTTCAACAAGCAATTCCCATCTTAAGGCTTGGTAAAACTTCCTAGAAGCTATGATTAACAATCACCAGAGACGAAAGAAATTTTTTATTTGACTTTTCTTTGTTGACACAGCTGAAGCATCGACATGAAAATAAGTAACAATATAACATAAGTTTGGAACTGGTGAGAATTTAGAAAGAAGTAACCCAGATTACTGAAAACTTTAATCAAGAAAAAACCTAACCTTGACTTGCAAAATCTGAAATAAAAAAAAGGTGGAACAGTGTTTAATAGGTGAACCCTATATTATTATTCGGACACAAAAGAATGAAAATGTTACAGTTTTATTAAAAAATATTTTTTTTTTATTAACTATGAGCATGCTACAGAGTTCCTATTTCCATCTACTACGGCATTACCTGTCAGCATTTATTAGCCAGTCAAAAACAAAATTTTCGAGTCCAGACCACAGCTTCTCTGCAGCAAAGAACAATAAGGGTCATAACAAACAACAAAATTGGAGAATATATCCACATGACATGATTTTTTTTTTTTATTTATAAAAAAATAAATAATATAGTTACAATTACAAAATACAAACCAGTAAGCCCCTCTTGTGGACAACACTCCACAAAGCGGATGCATGCTGAGCAAAAAATGCACTCCACCGCAAGCTGAATTCCACAAAAAAATAAACAAAAAACAAAACAAAACGAGGTACCAGAAATTAGAAATTTTATAACCATTTATTAACATATCATAATTCTAGTGCACAAAATGTACATGTTTCTGGGCAATAGAAAAAAGGGGAGAAAGATATGTATAGCAAACTGCAAAGCACAAACCTTTCTTTGGAACGTAGATGCATCATTGGCACCCTTTGGAGATTCACTACAACATTAAAATAAAATAAAATAAATAAAATTATTCAAAGCACACTTTCACAACACAAACTAAACTATCCAATTATGTTTAAGAAACATAAAAAAAAGGTTAATTTAATTATGATTAAGAAACATAATAGGAATAGTTTTCACTACATTGGCACCCTTTGGGGATTCACTACAGTATTAAAAAAATATAAATAAATAAAGGGAAACTATACTCTTGTGTTGTTGCAAAAAAAATTATCTTATGTCACCCATTATAACTATGTAATCCGGAGAATACATAGTTAATATTAAAACTATTTTTTTTTTCTTTCTTCAGAAGTTGTGGGCTGACATGAAGAGAGAAAAAAACAATTTTAATATTATAACTATGTATGTAAAGAACTATTTCAACCCAAAACCTTAAGGTGTTGGGTGAAGGCCTTTTTAATGGTTTATATTATTCTCTAACACACCCCTTTACGTAAGAGCCCTTTGAGCTCGAAACGTGGATATTGCATTAGGCCAATTTTATTTTATTTTTGTCTTACCTTATGCTTATTTATTTCCACAAGTGAGGGGCGGTGATGATCGAACTCGTGACCTTATGGTCAATGAAGCTCTGATACCATGCAAAGAACCACTTTAACTCAAAACCTTAAGGTGTTGAGTGAGGGCCTTTTTAATGATTTATATTATTCTCTAACAGTATTCTCTGGAATACATAGCTGTAATGAGTGACATAAGATAATTTTTTTTTGCAGCAAACATGAGAAAAAGGGACCACAAATAAAAGAGACAGGATATTGTTACTACCAATTAGTGTTGCTACCAATGTCACTACCACTTTGTTTCATTGTTAGATCGATTATGTTGATCCAATAGTTATGATTTAACTTTCTACAAATCTCCTTTTTTCTCCCTATATTTAATACTTTATATTTATTTTCACTTGATATGGTTATGATTCCCCATACAAAGGTGAAAATAAATATCAGTTCGTTCAACGTAATCGATCGAACGATAAAACAAAGTGATAGTAACATTGGTAGTAACACTAATTGGTACTAACAATATCCTATTTCTAAATAAAATTATTCCAAGTTAGTTATTCGACTGCAATAGGGTTGGAGATGTACAAACACAAGCACAAACACACTTTCTCAAAACATAAACTAAGCCATGAAATGGTTAATTAAATTATGATTAAGAAAGATAAAAGGAATAATTAGTGAATTAACCTCTCTCTCCATCTCAATAAGGCTTCCAATAGAGGAACAGGGGTGTGGCGTGCAACCATAGCAAGGGAATCGAGTACTTGCTCGTAGGCCGGATCAGATGGTCGCAGGTACTGCCCATCCTATGGTGAACCCGCACCAAATCCAAAAACAGAAAAAAAAAAAAAAAAAAAAAAAAACACGAAATTGAAACTTCACTTCGAAAAATTAAAAATAAAAAGGTCAATTCAATCGAAAAAATGATGGTGTAATGTATGTTACCTGAGCTTGAGCGGTTTCGATACGACGACGTGCGAGAGGGAGAAAGCGCTGAAGAAGAGCGTCCACGATCAACTTCGCAGCACTCCCTGCCTTCATTTAAAACCACATTCACCTTCTACTTCTTCTTCTTCTTCTGATTCTGATTTTGAATCACTTTCCAAACACACCCTAATTTGAATAATTACAAGGAGGAATTATTATTATTATTATGAATGAAAAAGGGAAAATGAAATTAAGAGAAGAAAGATTTGAAGGTTTAGAAAGAAAGAGGGTTGAGAGTTGAGGATCTAATTCAAAAGGGTTAAGTTAAGGTACTTGAGCTTGCTTTGGCTTCCGTGACGTGACTATCGCGCTGTCACCCTACCCCAAAACTAAATTAGTAATTATAAAACTGATTTTATTTTTTTGGTTGTAAGAATTTGACAATATGTCAAAATAACGTTTTTTCTTAGGGAAATGATACTCTCATGCAACATAAGATACCTATCTCATGTTATACACTCATAGAATTTTGTGCCAATTTTTTCTTTTCTTTTTTCTTTTCATTTTAAATTGTGGACCCCACATATTTGTATCACTCACATGAGATAGTACTCTCATGTAACATAAGATTAATAAACCCCTTTTTCTTATTATATTTTTCTGTATAATCAATGAATAATGTTTTGATAAAATTGTGCTGTCTTATGTGAATTTCTATCATGCATGACTTTTTAACATAAATGATGTTTCAGCGTAGGTTACATGTTTGTTCTTTTAAAGAATATAATTATATCATTTTAATAAGGAGAGAAAGATACAAAAAAAAAAAAATTATAGAAGAGAAAGTGGATGGTTTTTTTTTAATTTAATTTCTAAAAAAAATATTTTGTGTCTATCTCTTTCTTTTAAATGACATAACTTTATGTCATTTAAAATGATAAACAATTTTTCCTTCAGCAGATGGCAATATTGTAAAAATCGAGTTTTTACGTAAAAACGGAAGAGAATGGTAGAAACGACACGAAATGTAAAAATTTTACTACTAAGGTCAAGATACAATTTTATATATATCTATATATATATATATATATATATATATATACAAAATTATATATATACTTAGGGCTTGTTTGGTGGACAGGATATGATAAGGGTAGTCATAAGGGTAGGATATGATATGAGGCTGATAAGCCTATATCATGTCCTGTGTTTGATGAGCACCTGATTGACAATCTGATAAAATTATGTAGAAAGAGAAAAGAAAAAGAAAAAATGAAATATAATGCAATAAATACAAATATATTGGATAGTGTGAGGATACATTGGATAGCGTGGGGATATATTGAGTATCCAATATTGGTATCATATCCTATTGAATCCTAACCCTACTCCCCCCATAGAATAAGAAATCATGTATTGGATAGGATAAAATGAGACAATAAGATAAGCTAATCATATCTTATTGACCTACCAAACAAGAGATAAAAGTAGGATATGATAAGTTATCATATCTTATCTTCTTTATCAGATGCTCCAAACAGGCCCTTAAGGTCAAGATACAAAATTATATATATATATATATATATATATATATATATATATATATATATATATGCATGTAAAAAAAATTCAATGAATAACTTCAATGAATAAGTCACTACTCAAAATTCAATGAATAACTTCATATTTAAAATATATAAGTCACATAACTATATAAGACATAAGTCCAAAAACATAAAAAGAGTTTAACAAATTCTATAACCAAGTTCCACAACATCAAAAGAATAAAGTTTAACAACTCTTAAATGGAAATACAGCAGCCTCGCGTAAGGATATTTTTTTTCAAATAGCTAGAAGAAGATACTGTGCATTTGATTTGGGAATGGAAATATGGTTTTTTTATTTTATTTTATTAAAAATATAAAAATAAAGCGAATCATAGGTTAAAAGTTGACCTGATTTGATTTTTTGGTTTAAGTAAAAATGTAAAAACTTGTGTTTCTACCATTTTACGTTTTTACAAGTAGTTTTTACCCATTTTTACTAAGGAGAGTTTTTACTTACGTTTTAAGACGTATCATCTTGGTGAAAATGTAAAAACATAAGTTTTTACGTTTTTATACTAGTTTTTAACAATAATGGCAGATGGTTTTAGGATTTTTGACCCTTTTGCCCCTCATTAATTAATTAATAATCAATTTGTCCCTCATCCAGAACTATCCACCAACCTGCCCCTCTTTAATCGACTAACTTGAAGGAATAGTCGATTAAATGGTCAAAATTCAGAAAGTTCATTGACACGAAATGTAGTCGATTAAAAATCACTCTTGATCGATTAAATTTTGGGATTTTTAATCGACTACAACATAATATTTAGTCGATTAAAAATTGACGAAATTGTTTTTTAAAAACCTCCCCATTTGGCAGAGGAGGTGTATTGAAACCCTAGTCGATTAAACCCCTCTCCCAAACCCCAAATCGGAATCCCCTCCACAAGAACAACCCAAACCCCTCCCCAGGCATGTGGATTGCACCGTAAAAACGCTCTAATTCGTGAAACATCAAGGCTAGGTAAGGTATTTTAACTTGCATTGTGTTTTATGTTTTATTTTGTACACATCTTAGCTCAGAATCTTTGGTGTTTTGTCTCTGTTTTTTGGTAGAATGTTGTTCCTCTTGAGTTTGTCATATTGATTCATGAAGATAAACTTTAGGGATTCGAAGATTTTCACCCTTTTCATGATTTTGTGTTTTTTTAAAGCACTAAGAGCATAATCATAGTGGTCAGAATTAGAGAGTTGAGGTCTAAAATAGGCTTAAATTATTCTTGTCCATTTATTTTGTATGGTTGTGAGTGCAAATATTTATCTTTCTTGTCTTATGTTTCCACTTTCATTGTATGTATTCTGTAAAAATGGCGGGCCGCAGAAGACCAAGCAATGTCGAAAGTGAGAGATGCACGAAGCAACGACAAGACCGGCCTTCTTCGTCAAGGCCACAAGACGAAGAGCCTGATACTGTCGACCTCCCGTTTGGATACCTGTTTGAGGATGACCCCTCGGTTCACGCTGCATTTGTACGTGACCATTTGAACCGGCCATTATGTCCTCCAAAATCATTGGATACAACATTTTCAGACACAAAAATTAAACGTGCACGTTAAATTCCTAAATGGTTTACGTATTGTGTCAAACGTTGGGGTAGGCATACCAAATCTATCTTGTAGCATTTTAAACACCTATAAGTTATTAATCTCAGTTGTTATGGACGACGGTGACTTGTGGTTGTTATTATTTGGTCCTTTCGTACCATTTCAGTACAAAAGTTCCATTGTCGACGTTTGTGAATTATTGAAAATGGCATAGACCTTGGATCAAAACATAGCATGATCATTACATTCAAAAGCAAATTAAAACAACAAAATACCATAATTTTGTTCATTACATCAAATACATGAATCTCAAACCATCAACACATTAAGCCCCTCCCCTGCTTTCTCCGCATTTCAAGTCGGTCTAATCCTCATAGGACACGTACGTTTGTTATGACCAATTTGTTTGCACAAGCTACATCTACTCTGACTGCTTGTGGGTTGAGACTCAACCCAATCCATCTCATTATGTATCCTTGAAGACTTTGGTCTTCCTTGTGCACGTACCAAAGATGCATTTGGGATAATGGTTGGGCCATCAATTTGTAGAATCAACAACTCATTGCCCATTGGATACCAATGTGCATCACATACCTTGTCAATTTGTGCAATTGAGAACATAGGATCAACATAATCATAGTGGTTCAACTTTTCTACCTTGCACACCGCTAAGACGTGACTGCAACGAAATCTTCTAGATGTGAACCGTCCACATTGACATTTGCGATTGAGCAAGTCCACCCTCATTATGTCACAACCATCATGAGTTGATTGATTGTAGGCATCCTCAACTTCAAATAGCTGTAGGTCCCTATCAAAAACCCGCACACGGAGACTCACTGTTAACTGATCATTTTTTTGCATGATACCCTCAACCTTTTTTGCAACTCTCCAACCTTTTGCCAATGCTTTTTGGATCTTTTCACGTCTCTTGACGAAATACTCAACAAGTCGACTTTGAGTCATCTTGACCAATGTTGTTATAGGCAAATTACATGCACCCCTCAGGACCTTATTGACACACTCAGATAGGTTAGTCGTCATGTGACCAAACCTCAGACCCTCCTCATCGTAAGATCTGCACCATTTCTCTTTGGGAATCTGATCTATCCATGAAGCTACTTGTGGTTTACTGTCGATAAATTCCTGAAATCTGATATCAAAATGAATCTTTGAACTCAAGTACCCTGGAAATCATGAAAATTGCATGTGTTAGATACAAAAGGATGCATTTGATACAACATGTACATATTAAACAAATTGTGTACCTAGCTTCATCAGGGTTTTCTTCAATTACACATCCCTAAACTTAGTGTTAAAGTTGCTTCCGATATGACGTAGACAAAACACGTGATACGCAAATGGTGGCTGCCAACCAACATGATCTCTTACAGCCCTTATAATGCTGGGATGACGATCGGATATTAGACAAATGTCATGTCTATTCCTGTAAGTTATGTTGTATCCATACAAACGATGTACCCTCTCTTGAATAAGAACTGGCTTTAAAGATGGATCTTCTTTTAACATACCTATATATATAAAAAAAACTCTAAGTCAACAATGTCAGAATACAAACTGATAAACATAAACATACCTTAGGAAGTTAGATACATCGAATAATACATACTCATAATGGCTGCACATATCACATCAGAATCCAACTGTCTATGATCCCGGGTAAGACCTTGGTTTAGGCAGGTGTGTTCTTTGCCCCACTTACTGACCACCCAAGTATTTCAATTCTTCGGCAACAATGCCCTCACATACCAGGGACATCCATCATTATGGTGTCGACACTTCATCACAAATCTATGTTCATCACTTTTTGCCACAACGGCAATACGGTGAGACTTCATACAATATAATTTCACTGCATGTTGCATTTCAGATTTGCTACGAAACTCCTGATACAAATATAATGGATCCCCTAATTGCCAGCCACCGCGCAAGTCATCGTCACCATACAATATGTCCATTTCATCATTAGGGTGTGCCCAATTAATGAAGGAATAATGTGGACTTTCTTTCCAAAATGGCTCGATCTCAAAACCTACGTCAAAATTCATAAAGCCACCGCCAATAGCAATGATAACACAAAGAAGAAATGCTAAATTAAATCTTTAATTCACAATCTTAC